TTTCTACCCCTCCTCTCTAATCTCAGGCACTCACCCATGCGTCCCCCCAGGTTCTCCTGCTCACTCCTTTACTTTATTTCAACATGACAACACACACACATGCGCGCACACACACAGTCGCTGAAGGTGTGTGCACGAATGACACACAGACAATGACACATGCACATACTTTAATTTCCATCCTACAGATTTCGTGGTCTAAAAAAAGGAGGCTATGAAAAGGGACTCTGTTTGTGTACTTGAATTATTAGCTCAAACATTAAAATTACCCACAGCAGCGTAGCCTGATATAAATGTCACTCAGCCAGACCCACTAACATGAGCAGGAGCAGATTCAGTTACATGGGTGGCTCACTTCATCACCTTGCTGCCCCCTTCTTGCTGATAGAAGCTGGGGGAAATATTTGTGGTTATGCAGGTGTGTAACAGGGTTTTCTGAAGTCTATATAGGATGATGAGTGCAGTTCCTTAATAGAGATGCATATACTTCTTTTAATAGAGTTTGTGCTGTATGTAGGGGTGTAAAATTGCCTTTATCCCATATTTCCACTTCCACCTCAGGTTGACCTCCTTCCCAAGCCTGAGGACTATTTTTTTTTTTTACTGCCACTATGCTTTAATGTGCTAATGACTCAGTGCATTGATCCCACACAAATGAGTTGTTAACTCAGGATTACATTAAATAAAGGGTTCCTACCCAGGGCAAAAATGAAATTGCTGTATCTAGAAAGTTATTTGATATTTTACTATTTATTATTTAGTGTAGGAATGACATGACTGTACTGTCATCACTTTGGTCCGAAATGAAATATCTCAGAAACATGTGGACTCAACCGCTTTCAAATTTGCTTGAGGTTATTATATTCCTTAGGGGATAAATCCTGAACAATTTGGGGTTGCCCTGATTATTTATCCCCAAGTCATCATGAGATTGATATTCATCTTTTGAGTATAATCACCCTAACCCTAACCCTAACCCAACAGAATTTGTCCTGATTGTTAACCAGTTTATTCCACTCATTCATTACTTCATTCTAAGTAGTTATTCTTAAGCTGGTATACAGGTATAGTTCTGAAGTACTAATACCAACTTAAATATGGGATCCTTAATATATAGGATGGGACCTAATGATATTGATGTCGATGGTTTTGTTTGATAATGGTGATTTAAGGATGGCTTTCATGCTGATTAGACCTCTCTTGAACAGCTTTCGATGTTCCCGTTTGTCCGATCAAACTTCCGCTCTAGATCCTTGCTTGCATTGTTCTTACTATCTTATGTACGTCGCTTTGGATAAAATCATTGGGTAAATGAATTGTAGGATTGTAGGGATCCCTACTGGTTAGTACCATAGATGTATTATATCGGCTATTGGGATCCACTGAATATTCCATATCCATTTTGGTGCCCGCAATGGACGAAGCAATTCCTCTTGTTTCTTTGAAGATTTTGCCTGTTCATGTGTAAGAAGTGTTTTCTGATTTAAATCGTATCCTGCCTTCTTAGTAGTCTAATGTTTCACTAATCAAATAGGAAACATGAAGAAAGGCCTTTTCTTTAGCACGCTCGTCTGACATCTCCAAAATAAAGGTTATGCTGATGGTTGTTTGTTCAGTATTAAATAAAGTTAGTTTCACAACAAGTAGATACTTTTCACAAGTAGCTTAAACAAATGTTAGTACTGCTTTATACTGCTATACATGCTTATGTAAGATGTCTATCGTGCTATACTTTGTATTTGCTTAATATGTTAGCAGCATACTTACTGTATGTGAGTAGTTAGCTCAGCCACACAGAGCTGATTGCAATGTAGAATCTAGCAGTATGATTTTGGAATCATATGAACCATCCATCACCATCACTTAAAGTGTTTCAAGTTCAGTAGTAATATTTGCTTTTGCCAATTTGCCAATGTGATGTCCATTTCATACATTTATGCACTCCTAAAATATTCATGTCATTGTCTGCTCTGTAGGCTGCATGTCTGAACACATTGCAGGATTTTTCACCCTGACCTATCGCAGTGTTTCCCCTACCATTATATCAGGAGAGCGGTCTTGAAGGTCAAGTTAATATTTAGATTTATTTTTGGATTCCTTTCCGATAGAACAGGCCAGCTGTCATTAAAAGTAACGCATGAACACCAAGATTCCTTCAAGTGTTTGTCTCGGTTCCTTCTGCCCGCACACAGCCAGACACAGTCATTAAAAAAAATAAAATAAAAAAAATAGACGCGCATCGGAGAACAACACAGAGAGCATGACAGCTACTTTGTGGCTTATATTGTGTCATTTTAGTCAGATACAGCCATGAAACTCTGGATTTCTTCATAATGAAGGCTGTCAGCGTTGTGTACCCGCTTGCTTGTGCTCGTGCATGTAATGTACCGTGCTGAAGCACACCTCTCAAAAGTGTGTCAAAGCCAAGGAAGTTTACAGTGCTGAGCACGGCACGGAGCGGTCACACTGGCCACACTGGACTTTAGAGTTGAAGCGTGCTAGGGCACGGAACGGATGGCCAGTGTGACTGCGCCCTTATACGCCATGCAGTTGTCTTAATATTGTTTTCCACTGTTGTGATTGTCTTGCATAACCCTCCTGAAAAGTTACAGTGAAATTAACATAGAAGTAAGCCCTTTTCAGAAAGTATTATAACTAACCTTAGCTGTCATCACGTCTTTGAACATATTAATTCTACACAGGTAATATTGGTATCGCAGTCTGTTAATTCACATTGTGTTTCAACATTGCGGAAGAACAGCACCGCTAGAGCTGCACATAGACACACAGTCAGAAAAGGCTTTTTGTGCCTTTATTGTAGGGATAGGATAGTGGATAGAGTCGGAAATCAGGGAAAGAAGTCATTTAAGGATACCTTTCCCATAGAAAAGGACAGCTGTCATTAAAAGTAACACATGAACACCAAGATTCCTTTAAGTGTTTGTGTCGTCATGTCGGCATGTCGGCTTGTCCCCCCCCCAACCCCAACGCTGTAAACCTAGGGGAAACACTGAATGTCAACCCCTGAGTCTGTATGAGTTGTGAAAGTGCCTTTTAGCATCAGTTAAATCTCCTGCTGTGAGGTGCATGTGTGAAATATAGCCTGAGGGTCCTGAAGTTATGAGAAAATGTCAGGAGTGCATGTGTGAAGAGGGCTATGGATTGGCAGAAAGTAGTGAACATAATATTGACACTATTGTTGATTACAGCAAGGACACACCACAGAGCTGAAGTTGTTTTGCCAAATAAGATGGTAGGGTTAAACACAGTGCACAATGTAGTAAATGCTGAGGGAGTTATTTTAGAGAGTCTTGTTCTACTTCAATTTTTTTCTTCAGTAACTTCTCCTTGTTATAAACTGCTGGCACAGTCACCCCCTCCCTTGTTATTGACCTGTGGCTATGTTGGCTCATTAGGAATGTGGGTTTAAAACCCTTCATCTAAAAGACTGCAGCAATAAGCCTTGACGGATGCACAGCATGTTAATCAATGAGGCTCTGATGTTTCTCCGGGATGCTCAGAAGGGGGAATCTCTGGTGCTTTTTTCGGTCATTCCTTTCTTCTTGTCTTTCCTCTCAAGGCTGCCTGCCATCCCCTATGACAAGCTGTCCAACCAAACAAGCTGCAATCTTCTTCCAAACTCTGAAATAAACATTTCCTTCCCTTCTTTTTTTCTCTCTCCAAAGAACCTCTTTTCCTTGCTCCATTCCTCATTCTTATTCTGCTCTTTCTTCCATTCGTCCTTCACTCTTGACCTTGTCCTTAAACTATGCACTTCATGTTCCTCTGATCTTCTTTCTCCTCTCTTTAATGGAACTTATTCACCAACAATCCTTCAGAAGAAATGTGTTCTTAGAACCCGATTACTCAGAGTTTGACATTTACCAAAGTTGTCTAATCTGGGATTTGTTCTGAACAAAATCTAAGAACACTCAAGAGCACTCTTACATGACAATTAAAAATGATGTCTTACTGTGTTTTTACTAATTTAGTAGTTCTATATTATTACAAATGTATTAATACATTATTTAAAATGTGGCACCCTTTATATCAGTCATGCAAAGAAAGTTCGATCTTAACTGCTAAATGTTTAATCATAAACAAACACTTAAGTTACATTTGATGAAAACAAGTATTAAATCTAAAAAAAACCCTAATTAACTAAAAAATCTGTGACTTGTTCCATCATTACATTTTATAGCGTCAGCTATTAGAAAATATGTAGACTTCTGTCAAAGCGTTTTGATTTTGAAAAAAATACAAGGCGTGTGCCAGAGTCTGTTGTTTTTGTCTCATTATTTTTCCTCCAGATTTCACTGTTTTTACTTCATCCGGTGTGCATCGTTTTATAATTATAGCGTGATTTACGTTGTTTGTTGTAAAACACGGGAGTAAACAATTAGATAAAATACAGTATGTAAAAGACGTTAATGCTTTATTCCATAAAATCCATGAATAAAATATTTTGTCCTTCTCTTTTGGGGTGGTGAGTCACGTTGCTGTTGTGGGCCAAAAGAGAGGCTGGGGAAACACTGCATATGATTAAATCAGCCTGTCTGGGTTTAATTTCCAGCATCACTACATCCAATTTGGAACCACTTCAATTATTTCTAACTTGAAGATTTTCATTCGGGCATTTCTGGTGTCTCTCGGCTCCTCTCTTCAATCCAGTGTGACTTCAGTGTGTTTTCTCAGAAACTCTCTAAAGTATGAATTTAAGAAAATTCTTAAGTAGATATTGGTGAAATAGGCTTGTTGTTCTTTCACATGGCACCTTTCCACTGATAAACTTCCTGTTTTGCCCTATTTCTCTTTCTCTGTCTGATGTAACTCTCTTGAAGCTTATATTCCAGCCACTGCTTGTTGCTTTCATTACTTTGGAAATGATGTAATTCTCTGTTTTGGAGCTATAGTACTTTGTCTGGGGGTTTTCTTAAGTGCCTACTTCAAGGTCATCCTTTAATGGTGTTCCTGTCTCTTTCCGTCTCGCCCTCTCTTAGGAGGAGTTGCGGGAGCTGAGGGAGCAACCCATCGACCCCCAGGCGGAGCAGGAGCTCATCGACAGCATCGAGGAGGTCTACTTCTCCAACGACTCCTTTGACATGGTGCAGCACGAGCTGGAGGTCAGACTTCTCTCTGTATGAATGAGCATTATTGACTGAAAGAGCCCCCCATTTGCTCATTAAATGATGACAAGAGACTCGCTCCAAAGTTCCCACGCCCCCCTCAGTGAAATATTAATTCCATCACACCCACCACATTTTGGTGCTACTGATAACGGCAGCATTGAATCTCTTATGTGGGTAAAAGTGATTTCCTGCACTCTGAACCCCATCTGTTTGGCAGAGTTAAAGCTCTTTCTCACCTGAGCTCCTGTCTCCTCCACTTCTACCGTGCTGCGTCTGTACCATTGACGTCCAGATTGATGGATTGCATCTGCTCAACAGAGGAAGGGTGTGAAAATCTCATTAGATTTATCTTGGTATTGCTACACCATCTGAAATGAGACTCTCAGTCAAGGGGAAAGTAATTACCTATCATCCTTTGGGCCATGAATTTGTAATATCTTCTTTCCCTTGCAGAGTTTGTTTGCTGTTTACTAAATAACATCCTCTACCTCTTTCACTAATCTGACTTCTGATCTCGCAGACTGTATTTATTGAGGAGAGTTTTTTTGTTTTCTTTTAATAGAGGGAGAACTGCAACTATCTTCAGTCACACCAGTTTAACTAGCTAAAGCTCTTTGAAATGCCTGGTGAGGTATCTTTGAAAGTTAAGATGCTCAGGAGTGAAGATTAGCTCTCTCAAGATAAATGAAATCCCTTCTGTGGCCCTGAGCACCGGAAGTTGCTGTTTAAATTTGAAATATTAATGCAACTTTTTTTTTTTTTTTTTTAGTTCTGTCTCACAGACATGTAGAAGCAAGTTTACTTCACTAAACAAAGACATTTTAAAAGCAGCATGCAGCTGTGTAGAAGCATGACACGACTGTGTGTATGTACTAGTGTGCAGAAAAGGCTCTGCAACTTTCACCTGCGTGGGAGGATGTATTGTACTCAAACAATGAGGTTGAATGTTTGTATTTCTTTGTATTATTATAGAAACTCCCACCTGAGCTCAACCTGCAGGAGCTGGAAGAGTACAGAGACAAACTGAAGAAACAACAAGCAGCAGTAAGCCTCTCCCCTCTTTCTCTCCCTCACACACACCTGCAACATATATATTTTTTTAATGTTTATTTTGGGGCTTTTTGTGCCTTTATTGTAGATAAACACACACATGCAACATTTTGATCTGCTAATAAAGACCATGTTGTGAATCTAAAAGTGTTTACATTACTGATTTAAGTTAGTAATTACAGATTTAAAGGCGTTAATGTGAAGATTTTCTCTATGTGAAATAAAAAGGTTTATACGTCATGAAAACTAATCAAGTAAAGTCAAAATAATCAATGTAGCACTGCTATGGGATGACTAAAGTGCAACCAAATCCCAGGGTTGTTATAGTTGCTCTTAAATACAGTATAGCAGTAGGAAATATAGAAATACATTTAAGAATGCAAAAATAAAATAGAATAGAAATAATAAATTAAACCATCAAATTTGCAAAAAGTACCAAGTGAGAGTAAGAATATTAAACTGTGTAGAAAGTGCAGGTAATTGAAAGATATAAATAATGTTTACAAACATAAATATACACAGTGTACAATTTGTGCGTCTCTTTTGCCGTTGTCATTTTTGCTGGTGATGCGCAGTGCGTTCTGGGAGATGACTCTGTTTTTAGTGTGCCTCCGACTGATCTCCTTTTAAAGGGCTAAGCAGCCCTAACAATTCACCCTACCCCTCCGCTGCAACAAGAATCGGGATACCCCTACACATGAACGAGCAAAATGTAGGGGTAGGGCTAAGTTGAAGGGGTAAGGGGGGGAAATGGTACCTAAGGAGTTAGAGTCTGATGACCACAGGCAGGAATGACCTTCTGTGGTGTTCTGCGGTGCATCGTGGGGGGTTGAGTCTTTCACTGTGATTTTTGCACACGTGCGTCGTGGAGTGGGAGTGAGACATTGTCCAAGAAGCTGCGCAACTTACCCCCAATTCACACATACTCCGTGCGCGCAGCGTCGTCAGGCACGCACTACGTTGCACTTAGCTGACACTCTAGTCAATCATTGTGTTCACACAGGGCGCGCTGCAGTCCGTCTCCGGAGCGTGCCACCAACAGCACTGCGCTCTGCTCCGTTTCAAATACGCAGCGAGTCTATTTTCACCGGAGTACGCTGCAGGCACCCGTCAAGCTGGACAGAATATGATAGCCCGGACAGGAAGTCAGGCAAGGAAACGCACAGAGCATCCGGCCAATTTCAAAATAAAACACAATATACGGACTCCCGCGGGATCTTGTAGTTCTCCTGTGATGTGTCATGGGTGCGCTCTGCTGCGCTGATGTCCCAGAAGCGGATCCAGTGTGAATGGGCATGAGCCGTCCGACGGGCAAAACCGCGGCACTGACGGAATATGTGTGAATTGGGGGTTAGACAGCATCCTACTCCATGAAACTGCCGTCAGAGAGTCTAGCTCCTCCTCCCACAATGTTGCTGGCCCAGGAACAGAACGGGATAACAATAGGCAATGTGAAGAAATACAAATAAAATTGAAACATATGGCGATGTAGCATTTTCATTTTTTATTGAAAGCCAACGTTTTGGGCTTTGAGATTTGTATGAATGACTTGAGTCCAAGGGGCAGATCTGATGTGAGGAGACACATTGTTCCACTACAGAGAAAGAAGGGTCACCTCTGAGTTTCTGTCTGAGCTGAAGTGCTTACAAACACACTGATGTGTATTGAAGACGTACAATATGAAACTACAATAGATTGTGAAAATAAAACCCAAAAGTTTGTTTCATTAAGATAAAAGCTTTGGATATCTGGGCTGCTACATTATTTCAGAAAGACACATTTACTTGGCGCCACAAAGAGCCTGTCTGCCATACCTGGCAACTTCAACCCCAGTCAAGTCTACAGAGTGAGTGTGTGAGTTTAACTTCCCCTTAAACAACTAAACTGCAAGATTTGCATTGAGAAAGACTAAGGACAGCTAATCTCCTTCAGCCTCAGCAGGATCATTTCCACACATATCTCTCTTTTTCAGGTCAGTCAGGTACTCGCAGTTTCAGATTGAAGAGCTGCCCCGTAAACAAACTCTATTTATAGAATCACGTGGGCGAGAAAGAAGATGTTTTGGTCCCTGCATCATCAATCCCCACGGTCCAGAACAGATTTTGCCCACTATCCCTTCTTCCTGACAAGCTTCTGGACTTTGGCACACCTGATGTCTCCCTCTTCCCCTCTGCTCTCCTTTTTCTTGTACCTCACATATTTTCCTGTTTCATATTTCATATATGACACTCCCTCCTGACGTCACATTGGGCATTTGGACATTTTCTGCTATTGCACACAGAGTTGTCTCTAAATTTGCTCCAGGCTTAGAGTGTAAGCCTAAGTGTACACAAACATACTCGCACAAATGCCTGCTTTCTTTGTCTGTCTTTGTCTCACTCTGGCTGTTGGCCTGCAGGCACCTTGTTGGAATAGCCATGGTAATTGGTCCTGGTGCTGCCAGGCATAAAATCTGCAGATATGTTTCTGTTTGTGTACCTCCATATCACAAGGTTTCTATGAAATATCTTGACTAAACACCTGCTTTGAAAATGTTTCTTTTTATTTTCAAGGTTGAAAAAGAGCATTGTCTTGCTGGCCAGCATGGACAGAGGAAATGCAGGAGAGAGTAAAAAAGGAGGATCAAAGCTTTAACGAGCCAAATATATACTCTGCAATTCTATTGCTATATGTTTTCCACTTTCTCTCAATAAGCCCCACAATCCTATAGATGTCCGTCATGAAAACGTTTACCAGAAAAGTTTAGAATAATCACAAGGATAGAGCATCTTTTAACACTTATACATCCATGGCTTTTGCTATTCTGAAATAAGGTTTTTCTAACAAATACTGTCATTACTTGTCTGAAAACATTCTAGAACTATCACTCCCAGTTTCTCTTTACACACTAGATAGATATTTGGAATTGGTGTGCATATTAACATGGAGATGTTACATAAAAATGTAATTGTTACATAAATGTGAATGGCTTAACTGGTAACCTGTCACTGACAGGTTAAGGAGAAGTTTTTGAAAATATTTGTTGTGTTGTCAAAATAACGTCTGAGTCTGTTGATTTATTTTATTTATGATCAGGTAGATTTGGGGGAAGTTCTTAAGCTTCTTTTCATTCAAATCCAAATTTCAGTACAAGAAAAAGTTAAAGATATATTAGCAGAGCACGGCTTAAAGCAGATGCTGAATATAAATTGCAAGAAAATCTGAATTCTCTTGATAGTGTTCTGCAAAAAAGTCCTCCTTAAGTCTCCTGCATCACCTATAGAGCGCCCGTGTGTACAGGCAAAACATTTCTACATGGGATTTTATAGTGTACACATACAGATTCTCCTACTGGTACACACAAAAAGACACACACACCTCACTGTCTGTACCTGAGATGCACCTAGTCGTCAATGTGTTAAATTGAGCATTGCACTCTGAAGAAGTGATAATGGTGCTTTCAAGTTCTCACCACGGGACTGTCGTGTGACAGCCTTTTCCCTGGCAGATGATGTGCAAGTTCTCAACACATTTTATCTGTGACGCTTTCGCAAAGCTGAAAAGCAGCTCGATAAAGATATTTGTGTGTGTAGCAGGGATGTGACTTGATGATACTAAAGTGAGAGCAATACGCTTTTTTACTGTGTTCTCCATGTACTTTTTCCTCTGTTTGCCACTTGTTTCACCCCCCTGCTGTGAGGAGTTGTGGGTGAACTGCTGTGTCGACACATATTGATAAATATCCTCTCTCTGACTTTCTCTGCTATGGGAGATGAGAAAATCTGCCCTGTGTGTCCGCCTCAGTTTCCAAACTTAATTGGCATCTCTGACACGCGCCTTGCAGACGCTTGTGTCAAGGCCAATTGCCTTTTTGTGCAGGAAGAAATCCAAAAATGTCAGCGTCCAAAGACACAGTTGGGTTATGCATTATTGTCATACATCTCCAATCAACAATCAACACACAGATACTAGAAAGCCTTAATTAATGTGGACATGTTTTTTTCATACCTTTTGAGGGCTTTCCAATACCTGATCAACTGTTTCTCAAAAGATGAAACCCTAGGGATGAAACCCTAACCCAAAAAATATGAATATAATTTTAGATGCATGCACAGTGCGTAATGCCTCTTCAGGGACAGCTCATAAGCAGTTTCTAACATTTTGCATAACACGTCCTTTCCGCCTCAAAGTGTCTTCTTCCCAGGAATGTAGGCTGCTGAGATGTCTGAGGAGGCGATGTTAATAATGTGGGTGAACGTTTTCAATTTTTAATGAAACTCGAAAGCTAGAGATGACTCTCCCTCCTGCAGCAATAATGAATTCTCTCCCTCTGTGCAGTATTTTAAAAGTTATGAATGCTTATGCAACCTTTGACTAAACCCCTGACCTGGCTGCCATATTTCTTCCTGTGTTTAAATCAGGCTTTGAGTGATGTCTTGCTGGGCTGAGGAAGTTTCAGGTAGTGTGTAAAAGAGGCATACACCTGCAGAGCACCCCTGGCATTTATGAGTCAGTCAGTCTACAGAAGACACACTGAACTTTCAAGTAGAAAACTCATTTTTATTGAGCAGTTTGGAGTTTAATTTTACTGCATCGCAGAGATTGATCACTCAAAAAGGTATTTAGTAATTATGACCAAAAGCCCTTAAATGTTGAGTTCACTATCATTGGCTCTCTTAATTACAAGGAACCAGCCTCACTATTACTTGACTGGTACTTTCCACTGCTACCAACCCTAATTAGCACTAGCTAATTTAGCTCTAATTGCCTAATACATCTTAGTAAACACTTGCCAAGTAGCAAACATGTTCTTCATCAGACACATTTATTATAAGCCTCACACATATCTATAGTGACGACTTGCTAATATTGAGGCATTGCTTGATAAACTATTGTCAATTTTTCATTTTGGTTGGCCTTTACTAGATTTAGTGTGTGAGCTGCCTTCTCCTGCGACTGCTATTTTCTATTTATTTTTCTCCTGGGCAACCTAGCGTCCCTATGGAAACTTAAATTGCACTCTTTGTCTGATTGTTTCCCTAACTTTTAGATTTTTGGTCGTCAGTCAATAGTTTTGGACAACACTCTCTCCATCTGCTAATTACATGCACTGTGATTGCTTTATAACAAACTGTTGCACAACCAGCCTCCATTTGTGTGTGTGAGAGCAAGCTGAGTGCAAATGACTTTCGTCTTTTAGCTCACTGCTGGGTTTGAATTATGTTGTGAAATCTTTTACTCCTTAAAAAGTTTAGTGTTGTGTGTTGTAGTCCACTGGTTACCCTTCAACGGTGTTACAGCCTCATTTTGGAGAGAAAATGAATTTGGGGCCTGTCTTTTAAACACAATGATTACATTTTTTTTTCTGTTACTTCCTTCTCTAAAAGCGTTTTCACTCCTAACCTGTTTGGTTCGGTTAAAACAAACTTGAGTCCGTTTGCCCAGTAAGTGCAGTTCCTGTGCACTGGTGGGAAAGCTGTCAATCAAACCCTTGTGCGGACTACACTGAGACTGCTTGAAAAGGTGGGTCTTGGCCCACTTTTTTTAAGACTCTGGTGTAGTTTGTTTGTAGTAACGAACATGAACTGACCTCAATCCTACCTAACTGCAGGAAGCAACCACTATGGGCCATCTCCATTCAAAGGCTAATCTGATGCAAACAATCTTGGTGGATGAGCCGGTCATGATTCAGGATGATTAACGTACACCTTCATCTGAACTGTATTGATAATCACCTTCGGCGACTCCAGTCCATCAACATTGTTTTAGGGCCTCAGTTGCCCCTCATTTTCAAACTGTATAGTTTTGCCTTCAGTGATAAATCGAAACAATAAAAAAAATGATGAGTGATTACCAAACTGATGACCAGAGCCAACATGAATCCATGTGGTCGTCTATCCACTTTGAAATTGGACAGTGGATTTGGAGCAGCCACAGCCAGGCAGGAGTCACCAAGTCCTTGTTTACCTCCAGGATTTTTCTTGCAAGAAATTCCAACTAACTAGAGTGTGTTATCATCACGCTTCATCCATTCTGGATGAAGTGTGGGAACACAGTGTGTTCTCGTGTGTTCTCGTGTGTCCTTGTGTGAACACAGACCAAACTTGGAGTAATTATGCAAAAATTAACACATTTGTTGATGATTCAGACCAGAGCAAATGAACTAAAGGTGTGACAACGTCCTAAGCTCTTTACCTTATTCTGAAGGCTGGACATTATTTTCTATCAGCATCTTATTTGCACATATGAATGCAAAAAGACGGAGACAGTCTCTCCTGGGGAATGTACAGTTTTTTAGCAAAGCAGATTCCACCATCTGTCCAGGTTCCCACTTGGTCACATGCTGGGAAGTCATCCCTGCCCCCAGTTTGGCCTCCTGTTTACCAGCAGATATGAACACCTCCTCACTACTTTGAATAAACCAATAAACCAACCGTTAAATGTCTGCACGGTGTGTGAGGGTGTGGATACATGGTGATAAAAATGGAAGAGAGGTAGCTCACTGTGAGAGGGAGAAAGTTGTTGTTGCCTGGGGACAAATGCTGAATGAGTGTTTGTCCTTGGTCATTATAATGCGCTTTACAACATAGTATTTGTAGTGACACTTGAAACATCCTAGATTTATTCACAGAAAATAACCGCTATGATGACTGATTTGTTCTCGGGTCGATGTGGGCCTATCACAGATCTGTCGTATTCACATATTTTCTGATGTACTCGCATGTGTTTGTCATGGCCTCCACAATGGTTATCCTTACCACTAACCCTAAAAGTACTATCAGTTTCAGACAAAAGTATTGCATATTGTTCAGGCTCCAGTCATAAGGGTTAATTCCTCTTGGGTTTCAAAATAACACATTTATTATTAAATTCCCATCAACCTAAAGGTGGAGTATGTTTGAATAAAAGTCTGTTTAAGCCCTTACCTAATGCATGTTCACATGGCTGATTAAAGCCATCAATGCAAGCTAAATCCTCAATTTCATTATTATATACACGAGAGTCTTTCGATCTCTTGTCTGTGACTCACCATTAATTTTGCGTTTTCTATTTATTCACAGTGATTGGTTTGTCAAACTCAAGGGAGTGTGTTACTCTAGTGACATGGTAGTCTACTGCAGCAATGGCCCAACTAGACCAAAAATGACCATAAAAGGAGAGCTTCTAATGCATCAGAGGGAAATTAAATTAAAAAAGAAATAGATGGCTTTTTCCTCACATATAGTGTTTGTGCCAACAAGGGGAGACTTTCTGTTTTTTATAGGTGCTTTTAAGTACAATTCCATATGAAAGGAGTACACTTTCAATGTGTGTGAGTGTTATTATTATGCAAAAATGTATCAATGTTAAGGTTATGTGGTAAACCAAAGGCAGTTGTCAATTTGACTGGATTGCTGATGCAGATTAATAAACATATTCTATTCAAAGACGCACTAGAGGAACACAAAGTACAGGAACAAACATTAGACATCACAATGAGGAACAGATGAAACTGAAGGAACAGAGTCACCTCTGAAAGAAATAAGAGTAATGCTATTTAGAAAGAAGTGGAATGAAATGAAAAGGAATAAACAGAGACTCTGCTACAAGGCTCTGGCTTTATTGCTTTCAGACACTGATTGTAATTCTTTCTCCGTCCTCAAGAGCAAGATTGCACTCACCACAAACTGCTTTGCTTGGTATATATTTAAGAATAACATCAACATTTATTTCTACATCTTTTTTCACTGTTTGCCTTCTTAACGATCTCTCTCTCTCCTCTCTCCATCTGTAGGTTTCTAAAAAGGTTGCCGATCTCATTTTGGAGAAACAGCCTGCTTATGTCAAGGTAAGCTTGCAGTGTCAAGTCACGGCCCCTTAACACAAGCATTTTTCTTTTTTTTCTTTGCAAAGCCACTTGTCTTAAAATTTATTTTAAGATATAGTAGCTTTTTATTTATGGTATCTTCTCCCAAATTATTACTTAGACATCAAGGTGTTTTGATGCTATCAGTGTGTCTCTGGATTCATTCATGTTTGAGTTTTTTTCTGACTGCCAAAATAGACTGCAATAGGAAATTTGACTCCAAAGATAAGGAAATAATTAAATAAAACCAAGTCGATAAAATTCCCTCTTTGATTGCCTTGTGATGTTGCAATAAACTGAAATGAAGCAAGTGAGTTACACTTTCTCTTCAGTCTATTCTCAGTCAGATCCAATAGAGAACAATCACAGAGGACCACGTTTGCTTTAGTAACGATGAGTCAGACTGAGTCTTCCAGCTGGGTCTGTTCATCTGTTTCATTTGACATCAGTATACTGATGTGATCTCATACGTGGCATCCTTTTAAGATATGCACTTTACAGCAGCAGCAGCAGCATTCTTGACCCTCCAAACATTAACTCCATGAGTTAAGAGTGGTTACCTGGAACACCTGCAACATAAAAAAGAAAGAGAATAACATGAGCTACTTTTTCTGGAGATTTTGTAATCCGGGATATAAACGCTTGTTAACAAATCCAACTTCATCCAGATGCTGGTGCAGCGGCTGAAGCCAGTAGTAGAATCTGTGGTATCTTTCTTTAGATGTGTGAAGATGTCTGTGTACATTTCATGCACTTTGTTGCTGGATCAGTGTGTTTTGGTAGAAGATCAAAGTTCTGTCTGCACTGAAAATATACATCTTTGTGCGCCTGTTGGATTTGATTGAGTTTGCCTTTTGATTTATTTGATTCAGCAACCAAGCTTCACTCACCCAATCACATATATCTCTTTTGAAGAGTCTGTCGAATGAATGTTGAGTAAGTGAATCTTTAATCCCACAGAGACTCATCGGATGACTGACAGCTTTAACACATTTTGGGATGTAGTGAAATTGCAGTGAAATTATCATCATTGTTAAGCCATCTGAAGGTCAATCTATGAATAGCAAATTGATCATTATTTCTGCGACCCCCCCTCTGCAGCGACAGAGTCAAACTGACAGCAGGGCTTATTAGTAGATGTTGCCGGGGATTTCAGAAGCATCTTCATTGACCCCTTTCTGCCCATATTCACTTGGTCTATATCTATAAAATAGAGTTCAGAGGGCATTCTGTTGTCTACATCCACTGCATTTATTTAACAGCGAGAAGGACAATTAAACATCAGGTCCTAGTATTCAGAGATAAAAAAAAAAAACAGCATGGCACACTTGGTATGTTATTCTTGATTTTTTAAGTACCTACCATAACATGTGTACCCTATATTTCTTCCTGGAAGATACAGTGAAAAATGTTTTAGGCTCTCACTCTCACTGTCCTGTTTACTGCAATGTACTTGAGGAGTTTCATCGCTCTTCTCCTCGACATCTTTTCTTTCCTGAGTCCTCTTATATCTTATATCCGCTTTGTGATCATCAAACATGTACACAGATATTACATTTGCTGCAGAAACACACAGTCAAAGGGCATGACACATCAGTGGACATACATTGTACAGACACATACGCTCGTGCCTCAGAGCTTGAAATGATGGCTTGCTAAGAGCCTGATCTGACTCATAGGTCTCTGTGTAGTGACCATCCCTCCTCCTGTTTGGGGCATGTGTGTAATCACTGTTGCCCTCAGAAAGGGTCAAACTGTGATCAGTCTTCCGCTTGTGCAAAGTTACATGAACGCCTGAGCCATTTTTGGTCATTGATTTCAAATTCAAATAACTATTGCTTATTTTCTAGCAGCTTATACATTGTTCTCCTTTTTTCATACATACCCCTGAATTTGATCCTCGTACAATTACATTACTTATCAGTTACATTACTTCATCTGCCTCAGAGAGGGGGTCCGCACCATAAATTGAATATAAGAAGTGGCCATAGCCTCCCAGTACAGTACCTCCAAATACAATCAACCCCCCCCCCCCATCCTACCTGTGTAATGCATTCTCTGATTGACACCCAGTGTTCATCCTTTAGTTTTAGAGGATATGTGAGGGCTTTCATCAGTGGGCATAGCCTCTGCCACCATTGAGTTAAATTCATGTAAAATCCTGTTACTTTAGATTGCCAATCAATGAAACACACATTGGGACAATTTGAAATAAAACTGCCAGTGACTGCCAGTACAGAATTGAGTGACCACAACATGACTTTGCGCCAGGTAGCCCTGACTATAGGTCATTTAACACCAATGTGGTCTTGTGGACTGGTATTCAATTATTTTCCACTGGAAACACTGCTGGTGCTTTTGATTGTGTTCCCCAGTCAATTTCTTTGAAAGAGATTGTTAATCTTAGCGGCCTTACTTGCTGATTACACTGGGGCCTTCAGGCTGTCTCTCTGGGAGACTGGATACTGACAGGCAAAAGCACTTTTAATAAATCTGTGCAGCCATGGTCCCAACTACTTAGAGCTTTTAGCTGTTGTGTATGAATGTGGATAAGGATCTTTGATGTAAAAGATGGATACAACTGTGAATCCCATGATTTGTGTTTCCAATTTACTTAAAGCTTCTTGGAGGTTTTTGCTTGTTATGAAAAGGATTGAAATTAATACTGATAGCTCTTCAGGACTACAATAGCAGTTTGGCTGTTGAAAGAAAGCAGGATTAGATAAAAAATATTACTTACAAGTGCACATTAGAAATCAGTAAAGAGATGAGTCATACTGCTATGTCCACAGGGGGCACCAAAATCGGCATTAAGCCAAAGTTCCTCCCCGGAGATTTAACAGAAAAACATGTCTTGGGCTTAACCTGAAAAGGCTTCATAAGAATGTGTAGGCTCTGACAGCTTGGGGAACAGGGAGTTAGTCCATAGTCAGTGTGAAGGAGGGTTAACTGGACGACCTCTTATGAATATATGAATAAAAAAATACCTTTTGACCAAAACATCTCCTTCTGAATGACCTTCACTTCCCACTCCAGCTCCTATGTTTGTGAACACTGTAGGAGTCGGTCGTATAGTTTAATTGATCACCTTCATGTTTACAGTACACCAGTATACTGCTCTATACCTTCATTTCTGGTTTGTTGTTTGGCTTTCTCTCTTCCACGTATCAGATTTAAGTGAATCCTAGTAATGCATCCAAGCTCTTTAACCCCTTTGTCAACCCGAGACTGACTGACCGCTTGTCCCAGCCTTATACTGTACACAGTTATTGCATTTCCCCTCACACGCGAAGCTGATTGAGCTCTGTGTCTGTCAGGTTAACTGTGACTTACAGACAGCTCAGGACAGTTGTATAGCAACAAATTTGAGCCTCAGGCAACATACTGAGCGCTCAGTATGTAGACCTTGTGTGCTTGTTCGTGTATGAGATTCTGTTTGAAGCTGCATGTGTGTAATCAAGCTGTTTTTTGCCTTTTCTTTGTTGTGCACATAACTGAAAACAGTATTTTCACAGCACATTACCTCATGGACGAAGTGTATGCACAACCGCTGTGTCCAGTACATGTGTGATAATACATGCTATTACATAGAAATGGTTAGAGAGTTCCCGACTGTGTGTGGCTGTCTGGTGAAGAAAAAGATTTGGTTTTGTTGGGAAGAAACAGCTTATCGTTTCTTCTTAACTGAATCTTAGCACTTATTTGGGTACTTTGAGTACTGTGCAAAGATTTACACGTCAATCACTCTTTAACTCCGACTTTCCAAGAGAAATATTTAAAGAGGGTTTTTTTTTTGTCTGAGAAAATGATAATCCCCCTCCCCTGTGAACTTTTTGCACTGGTGTTGCAGCACTGCTCCCAATATGTGACTCAATCTGCCGTATTCAGACTCTAAATTATTCCTCAGCTAGACCTGGTGAGTCAGCCCGACCCCAGCTGCTTCCCACTGGGACAGGGTGCAAGGGCATATTCTGAGGACACATTTTAATGTCGGTTTGCGTGTACCAAAGCCTCCATGGCACTCTCTCATACATGCATAAACGTTTCTAATCAGAGCTTAAGAAACATTTTCTGTGTAGATATGCAAAGGCTGCACAGTCAGTTGCCATTAAATGGTTTACAAGATGTAAAAGCAGCAAAGTAGAGCACCGTGTTGATATTTTCCTCAACATGTTAAAAAACAACTTTTTAAGATGATTTCAATAATATTGGCCCTGTAAGGGTGCTGCTACAGCACCTCCTAAAATCAGGGATAATTAAAACCATCAGTTTATGAAAATGTATAAATTATGTTATCCTGGTTTTATGGGATATGTTGATCAATCTCAATCAATCTTTATCTGTATAGCACCAATTCATAACAAATGTTATCTTAAAAAGCAGGTAAGTACCTCATTGTTATGTTATAAAAGAGCAGGTGAAAAAGACTTAGCGCAGTGCTATGTTACAAAGACCCAACGTTAATCCATCATGAGCACAGCACTTAGCGACATTTAGCAAAGGATCATTTTAAAGCTATCGTATGTAGAATTGTATGACAATGTTTACATTCAAATATCTAAATTAATTACAAATTGACTAAGCCTATGTTGTATAATTTTTTTGAGTACATACATTACCTCAAATGTTTCCAACAGTTATCAAAGCCAGAGAAATCTGTGATTTTACAGTGGTAACATATCTTCTAGCGGATATAAGGCAACTTTTTGGTCTGGTTACCATAATAATCTTTAACGTGTTAATAACACTTCCTGCAGTGTAACAACTCACAGCAGGTCAGAGCTTTTCCATTGTTCGGCGCACAGTGAGGTGTTTTGGAGAGGTCACATTTGTTGTGAACATCATTGACAACAAAGGTGCAATTTGTAATCAAGCTATCAGGAAGTAAGCAAAATAAATTTCCCCAAAATATATTTCTTAACAACAGTTTTCCTTATTGAACAATTTGAGTCTTAGCTTTAAAAATAATCTTAATCAGGTGTTTTCATCAGAATTCGTATCATAGCATAGAAGTCCTCGCTTCCTAAGACCTGAGCAGAAAGAGTCACTTGGTGTTTGTCCCCTCAGAGAAAAGTCTGGTTATTGAATCAATCCTTGCAAACTGTTCTGTGGGCTTGTAAAGGGCCCCGTCAACACTAAAGATCATGAGGGCTGATTGGTATGAATGGGATCATTGATCTCATATGCACAGCTGAAGTGCCACTGGGATGTTGTTGTTTTTTTTATGACCATTTAAAATGTATCTCCTCCTAGACTTCATTCTGTCTATAAAAGGTTGTGGTCTGTGTGTGTTATTAAATAGTGGGAGCACTGGACTGTTTATGCGGACGTTTGATTAAACATGAAACAAATAAGATCACAGAACAAGGATCCTGTACCTCAGGCATGGCATCTGTGAGATCAAGAACATAAAATCAAGGAGAGAAAAAGAGCAGTTGAAAAGTATAGCATTTTTCTTCTTGTTCTTGCTTTGGCTGAGAGTGTAGTCATTCTTTACAGAGGTCATTGAAGTGGCATAATGGCTGAACTCTCAGAGCAAAGTGCTCATTGATCCTTCTGCAAATGTTAAAGCTCAGAAGAAAGGAGGCTTTTCTCTGTTTTTCTTTGTATTCTGAACATCTTCCTCTAGAACTACGTAACACCGCCATACCATATTAGCATCTTTCTGTTACATCTATCTTCATAAAATGCTCACAGCAGGATGCCTTTCACTCAAGACTTCTCTGATGTATGTTTCCCTGTGTGTTTGTGTGTGTGGGAGAGTTGCAGTAAATTGTGCAGAAAGTGATTTTATGCAGCAAATGGTATAATAACTCGCATATTTGGCTGACAGCACTGCAAATGAACCAGTGTAACAATATAGACGAATCATTGGGATTTTACAGGCCACTAGCGTTATAGAATAGCTTTCTGAGGCTGTTTCTTAGCACTCAATCGATATTTGAGCAGTTTAGGTACAACATAGTACATTCTTCTTTAGGAAATCAAACATTAACTTTGAAATGTTGTAACTGTCTGTACAGATACAGTATGCTGCTTTGTCTTATTTACTGTCATTTTCCTTCCTCACAGGAGCTGGAGCGAGTGACGGCATTACAGACTAACCTGCAGCTGGCAGCAGTCATTTGCACTAATGCAAGGAGGTAATAGAGTTACATTATACACTATCTGTTCACGAAATGAAATAGCTGCGGAAATAAGCCATTTGCATACTAAGTGTCTTTCTCACAACCATGGTAACAGCCCTACCTTGTAGATTCTCCGTCAACTCACAAGCATCATACAAACACACTCGTTTGCCTTTGAAATCAAGTCAAAAATTCCACTTAAGATAATACTGTGTTCCGCAATATCTGTCTTTATAGGTTAGGTTTTGGGATTGATGCATTAAATGTGTTTAAGTGTACCTTACATTTGGTATGAATAGTAGTGTTGTTGTATAATTTTGAGACATATTGTAGTATTTAAAGTAATACAGGTTTAATGTTTACTGTCTTATGTGATTCTGTCCAAGATTGAAAAAAATTTTTGGTGAACGTAATATAAGTGAAATGCTCAAGATATTCATACCAATGATTTGCCCAAATATATTTTATTGTTAGGCATTAAAATAGTCTGCTGGTGTTACCAGAAAAAAAAATGGAGCAAAAACAGCAAGACCCACAGTGTCAACATCACACTGTGGGTCCATATGGAAAGGCCTAAGTGTTAATTTAAAGCTACAAATGTCAAGCTAAGTACTTGGTCACAAATAAAGAAATATAACTGTTATTTGGTTTTTAAACTCAAACATCTAAATTGCTTGTTAGCTCAAAATACTGTTCCAATATTGTCATATATGTCCATGAAACTGCAGTTGCAGTTGACAGTAATGCCAATTGTTTCCTGCTCTGAAATATCTTGTGTAAAGGCAACTAAGTGTCTCAAAGGAGGGATTCACAGAAGCCAGCCTGGGTCTATTAGCCAATCAGAGGAGACGACAGCTACTGACAGGCCTGCTGAAGTCACTAAGGACCATCAAGACGCTGGTAAAACTTTAAAATATTTTTGATGTATTTGTTTCTCACAGCAACTAGCTGGAGTGTGAAAGGACACCAGTAATTTTCCCCTCTAGTCCTTTTGGCGAGAGCACTACATGTGTTATTATTCTAATTAATTCACTTCACTCTGACATCAAATTACTACCTGCCGGCAGGAGAGCCATGTCTACACAGATTGTTTCAGCATCCAGCGTAATATTTGATTACATAATTGGTGCTGTACAAGCTAGTATTTGAATTAATAGTGTAAAAACTGGGTACTGATGTTTATTACCACACCTTTCTTTACCACATTTAACAATTATTTGTGTATGTTTAGACTTGATGTAGGTTTGATTCTTACCTGCAGCAAAATTCACACTTGATTTATTCAGAGTAAAGTCTTTGTTTTCAATAATGCCTTTTTTCCATAACAAAATCCCTCAGACTGGACTGGTGTTTAATCACTCTGTGACACGCTACACACATATATAAAATAGTACCCAGTATAAAACCTGATAGGACAACATTTTGTATAATTAACTAGGAGATAAACTGTCACTGGGCACATTGCACGTTGCAGTCTTCCACTCCAGTCATTTTCAAGAGGACCGTTTTAAAAGATAGCCCTATGACAACTAACCTCTAAAATGTAAGTTTGACCTGTTAGTTAATTTCTGCTGCACCCAAGCCTTCCTCTTCTCTTTCTTCCCCTCACAGCAAAGAACAGATGTACGACTCAGCGAGATGCTTGAGGTATTGTGATCCTCTCCACATACACCGACACACATGCAGATTTGCTTATACCTGACTTAAAGGTCAAACATTAGGAGGGATTCTGCACTGACAAATGCTCGTCTATTGAATATTATTATTCTATATAATAGTAATATAATACTATTGTGAAGGTCAGCTGCAGCACATGGTATGGTTAAATGTTATGCAAGTATGTGAAACAGTGATTTTTAAGATGTATCAGAAGACAAAACAGTCACACATACCACTGTTTCATTCATTGTAATCAAGGTAACTTTCTGTATGGTAATGTGTTACCTTTTAATGATTCTACTGTATTTTGTTTCTACATTGTACACAATATTTCCTGCATGCTTGCAAATGACCTCACCGCTCTCTTCTTGAAGGAGGAAGACTATCCAGGTGCAATCCAGCTCTGTCTGGAATGTCAAAAGGCTGCCAGCACCTTCAAACACTACAGCTGCATCAGGTAAAGTAGATCCCTCAAAAATATTTATGACTCATAATCCAAATGGGAACAACCATGGTCTCATTTTCTGTGGCAGGATGGAAAGTTCTCTGATCTCTTTAGATTAAAACGCGACTGCATCGAGAAGTGCCAGTCTGAAATTATCCGATGTCAACTCTTCTTAGAAAATAGGGAATAATCGGTCTCTTTCAGAAATGGTGACCCTGTGTTGGATTGTAATTGCTTTGCTCTGAGAAGTCCTTCCATTGTGTCCGGGTCAAATTTGACTTATTTTCAAGGTTAAATGAGATACTTTTTTTCCTCACACAAAAGGGAGTTTTACAATCACTTATTTTGCTCATTGTCATTGCCTTGTTTTTTCTGCTATTACAGTGTTTATGATGGCAAATCATTTTCTTCTGTATGCTAACATTTTGAGTTGGTTGTTATTTTGGAAAAAAATTTGCACATGATTGGAATTCCTTTGAAAGCAACTGCGAGATTTTACCATAGTACTGATTTGAAAGCCTTCAGATGTATTAAACGGTGTCCAGTTATGAAATATATAGAAAGAGCCCATTCCTTTTTGTTGTAACAATTCAGACACATGGCTGTATATTGTAAACCCTCTTCTCTCCACAGAGGGCCCATTATCTTACTTTCATTTCCTTTGTAATTGTGCTCCATTTCTCGCATTAGGCAGGTCCAACACCGCAGCATTTTATGTATTGATTAAGAATCGATTGGGGATGCATGTCATTGTTGGCTTCCTCCCTCTTCTTGTCGCACAGTGCACAGACTCAGACAGAATACTTAACAAAGTGGAGTGTGAGAATGACACTCCACTTTGTTAATTCTTAAGTATTCGGTTACCAACACATGCCAACCTTACACGATGTTTTGGGTTAATGTTCGCTGTTTTTTCATAGACGGCAGAATGTGTCTTGGTCTAGTTGTGGAGGAGACAAGCAGAAGAGTCAGCCCCATTTCAAACTGACTCTGTGAAATTAACAGTTCTAAGCTAAGCTAAGTTGGAACCAGACAAATGTACAAACTTAAGAGACTGCTCCCCCTTTGTTAGATGGACAGTCCGTTGTGCTAATCACAAATGATGTAATATAAGGCAGTTTTTTTTTTTTTTTTTAAAGATGATTGTATAAAGGAGCATTGTTTTGACATTTATGCTACCCAGCTTGGCAGCCTACATGTGACAGTCACATAACTGTCACATGCTTTATTTCTCGGATGGGTTGCAAGTCTGTTCGATTGAGTCTCGAGTTACATTGGCATGTACATGGCGTGCCAACAAATTCCCTTGGATACTTAGAACAGACTAAAAGATGCCTTTGTAAAGTGGGTCTGAATTTTTCTTCTTTTCCCCTCCCCTTTTTCAAACCATCCTCTTGACAAAAAAAAAACAACAGAAAATAATCTCTGTCTTTTGAGACAAGATGTTTGAATCAAGTTCTTAATATTTTGCCAACCTTGAAGGCATTATTAACACTTTCTAAAATGTTTTCATAGTGATAATTAAACTTACTTTTATAACACATTCATCATGAAGCATGTGCAAGACGTAATGAGTTCATATAACCAGCAACATTAACATCATCCACGACATAGCAGTAATAGGGTCCCAGCTTATGAAGCTTTCCTAGTTATCCTCTGACATCTTGAAAATGGTGATCAATAGAAGAAGAAGATATACTTCCAATTTTACCCTTTGTTGTTGAACGTGCTACACACACAGGCTGAAACACACAGACAGGATCCTATGGACAGGCACTAATGGAGAGATGTCAGAGTGAGGGGGCTGCCCAAAGCTAGCGCTCCTGAGCCTTGCTCAAGGGCACCTCAGCAGTGTTCAGAACCAATTTCCAGACTTGGTCGGAAATGGGACTTGAACAGGCAACCCTCCGGTTCCCAACCCAAGTCCCTACAGACTGAGCTCCTGCCGGCTAGAAAGTACTATTTGTTCAAATCCATGTGCAGCTCCTTTATTGGATACTGTGTCAGTGTTGAAAAGGTAGAGTCATTGGTTTGACCTTAATGCAGGATTCAACATTATTACAGGCAGGTTTGTATGTCCCACTGGCTCACAGTTAAAATCTGCTTTAATCATAAATAAGCATTTACTCCTAATTTCACATTGTTTTCCTTTGACACTGGTGTTTTGTGGGTGATTCTTGTGGGATCCTCTTGTTATTTACTGCTACAGGTGTGTCATAGTTTAGAGGCAGCCGCTGCCCACAGCTTCCCCGCTGTCACTCTCACCAGTGGTCAGTCACTACACTCGGTTTATACACTTAGACACAGATTGTATTGCCGGTATTCTCTCATGAACTAGAATGTCAAAATGTCTTAAAACCACTGGTTCCCGGCCAAAAGCTGATCAATAATCAATATTCAAAGAAAAGGAAATACCGGAAGAGTAGAGTTAGACTGTCATCATTTCAATGGTCAATTCTTGACTGTTTTTTTCAAAATCAAAAACTAATGTTCCTGGGACAGTGGATACAATGATGTGCCACATTTACACATATTGTAACTACTACCTGTCACAACTGGCCTATGAATGAGGGAATGTGATTGCGATCATAATAAAACCAAACACTCCCACTTTCCATGACCATTTGTGTCACTGTAGTCCTGATGGCTAATGTAACACAATGTCTTTGGCAGAAATCCATTTGCTCTTTGCACCAATGCTTTCCTTTTAAAAATGTTAATGAAGCTTCCTCAGTGTCGTTGTATTTTTTCATCAGTGCATTGATCACACATCTGTCTTGCTCTGAATTAGCATGCACATTGTTTTCTCGCTCTCTGCCCAAAAGTTGCTGGAGTTCTGACTGCAGCTATAACCTCCCTAAGTGGCAAGTTGCTGGTCTGCTGCACTTTGATTTTAACCTTGTAGCTTTGCTTTTCTACACACTACATGGCTTTGTTTCATGCTTGCCCTTTCTTTGTCCCCATCCCCAAACCTTTAAAAATCAATACTGTTTCCTCAAGAAAGCGCTTACACAGCCTCATGCTCCGTCTCAGTCAATTTTCATCATTGGTCCAAATGGGCAGCTGTTGGGGAGTTAAGACCCCCACATTTCAGCAAGTAGTTTATCAACCATGAATCCTGCTGTGGCCTCAAAAAATCAAATGTGTAATTTAGCCTAGAGCTTCTCTGTGGTATTATGAAGCACGCTGAACTGAGAGTAAACAAAACAATTCATTTTGTACCAGAGAGTAAAAGGTTGGGAAACATATTTTGATATTTAATTGGGTTCATTTGTTTATTTGAAAAAGACCATGTATATTTTCTACTTTTGACATGGTTTAAGGCTCCTGGACGAAGACTGTCCTGCAGCAGTAGCCGGAGTAAAGATAGTTATTTTAACCTGGAGAAAGTCAAGGCATGCACAGCATTATGTGTGGGCCCTAAGGACCTGGGCCCATTTACCTGTGCACTTGTCCCACACTAATGCCTGGGGGAAAATTGAGTTACTTATACTACATATTTGAATGTTATTTACCATCTAAAATACAGTTAACCCCTTAAAAAGACATTACAGTTATTTTGCTATCATATGTGAAGTCTTCATCAATCAAATCAGGCCATGTTACACTTCCCAGGCACGCACACACGTGATGTTACTCTGCAGAGCTGCAGATGGCTCTGTGCTGGACAGAGAGTCAGTGTGACAGAGAGAGGGCTATATGTGGAAGACAGGGACTCAGTCTTCACACAGGTGAAATTCAGTAATTTCTCAAGGATCTATGTCCATCTTCCCTTCCATCTAATCCACAGTGACTGTCACTGCTTCTAAATTCGTGAGCCATGTTTATTTTCTGAGCAAAGCTGTTTAAAAACAATTCCTAAGACTGACAAATCAAAAGCAATGTAGGAAAGACGAGAGGTAGAGCCTAATGTCCCTGCCTGGTCTGATTGTCTCTATTTTGTCATAAAAAGCACAGATGCTCATAAAGAGACGGCGCACTCTCTCTCTTGCGCATCGACCATGGCTCTCTCCCTCCCGACAGCGATTAAAACTGATGTCTCTTTTTTGTGACTTACAAAAGTAAAGAAGACCTTCAGAATCAATATTGATCCATTCCCTAGTTTTGGAAGTTGTGGGAAGGAAACTTGGTGAGATTCTAGTCAGAAAACACAACCTAATGTAAAGGACAAGTTTAGCAAAGCGACATAACCCTTTGAATGAAGGGGGTGCCACAAATGGACACAAAGTTGAGGCTCTTCGTCTAGCAAACGGTTGTTTCTAGCAGGAGCTTTTAGATTAGTTTCAAAGATAATTCCTGAAAAACAACACAAAACCAATATTATAAACCCCACAACCTTTTTTTTTCTATTTTTATGTTTTATAGCATTACATATTGAATTGAAAAAACTCTTGTCCGTATATTTTGCTACAAGAAGGACACAAGGTATTCTTTAACTCTGGTTGGGAATAAGTAGGTTATTTTGTACCAGTCATTTACCATAGAAATTATCAATAGGTTGTTCAAGGTAAGACTCCTACAGATCTCCACTTCAGCTAATTGCCATCTTAGTATTGAGAGGAGGCGTTTTGTATGGGCTTTGTAATCTTCTCGAAGGACAGGGCAGTACAGCTGAGTGTTCAAGAGAAGCATAATGAAGGAAGGAGGCCAGGGGGCTGCTGACTTATTAATTTCTGTGTCTCGGATACACAAACAGTCCGGAGCATGCTGCGCAACATGACACTGCAAGCACAGAAGCAATTCAACTATTAATTCCTAGCCATGAAGCGTTCTTGCTACTCCGGAGTAGGACATGTGACCGTTTGTCTAAGAATCTCTCCTTGTGTATTTGCACTAATTTTTTCACTTTGGTTTACTTTCCACCATTTGAGATTTTATGATGAAGAGCCCAAATCACTGACAAAAACAACAGATTCTTAGGATGTGTTCAAAGTCTGATAAATTACTTTGGTCTGATTTACCTAAAATCTCAGCTGTCTAACAGTGCAATTGTCTTTCTTTATAACTTTTCCATGAACGCTCACATCCTCGGAAAGAAGTCGATACTAATATTTATACTATCTATTATATATGATCTTTTTCTGCTTTTCAGATTTTTTGGGATTGGACTGGATATTCACATTAGCTGCTGTACTAAGTCATATGTTCAATAGCCATAGTAGTGCCAGCATATGCAACTGTTGGGCCAGCTAATATATAAAAAACAGATGCATGCTTTACCTTAACGATGTAAGATCTTTGCTACTAATAAAATCAGAGTTAATATCAAACTCCTATGCTACATTGACTCCAGTAGTCTAAAGAGAAAAAAAAAGACACAAAAATGGCTTATTGACCTGAAAGATAGTTTAGTGTTACTCTATGTAAAGTTGAATGATGTTTCGAAACCTTTCTTACTTTTCAGATTCTGATTCTGATACCGAGACATGAGTATTAGCCTATACCAGGTTAGCTCAGAAAGAAGCGGGATGGAAAAAAATATAAATAATTTTTCTTTCATTCCCTCAATAAAGCCTAATTAGTAGGAAAAGAGAGAGTACTGACATTGTACACTCTATGCCAGCCCTGTACTATTGTTGTTGTTATCCGCAGATGAAAGTTAACATCAGGCTTAATGATTTTTACAATGGATATTAAATCACTGACGTACATGCCGATACTTGATACTGAACATTAAGCACTATCAGAGGCCAATACAAATTTAAGTACTGTTAGTGGAAGATCTCTAATAAGTGCATGAAGCCCTCTAGACAACCCAGAGCAAAATATATTTATATTATTTCAATTGTTGCTCTTAGAAAGAAGAACATTCTTCTATCTGGTTTGATCAGTTTTTCCTCTGAATGATCTTCTTTTAGACTCTCTTCATTGTTGAATCGTTTCTGTTCTTAACCTCTCCTCTTTTGGCTTTCCTCTAACCTCTTCTGCTTCCCCACTGTCATTATTTTTGCTTCTAGTTGTCTCTTCTGGCCGTTTCACTCTTTGAACTCCTTCCCTTGCCACTTTGTTGCCTTTCGGCCTTCCTTTGGAACTGTGGCTAACATGACTACTATTAGGAATCCTCACACTTTCTCAGCATCCAGCAAGACCCTCAAAGCACAAGAGTCTGCACATTGCCTGTTTGGCAAGTCAGCAGTGACTGTGGGGAGACTTGCCTGAAGGCCCTGTGGACACCTATTGCCAGTTATAATTGAAACCAGGGTGAAAAAATGATGTGATTCTATTTCAATCCTTGTGTTCCCTAAAGGGAACAGATTGTTAATTCGTTTTTTTTTCTCCTCATGTGCTATTTATGCATTCTGTCTGATCATGAAAGGGTGCCAGCATGTGGGAGGAGTGCATACACATGAACACCCACTGGACAGTATAACGTAGTAATATCGACACGTGATAACAGGAGGATTAAGCAGTCACCTGGGTCACTGGCTTTCTGCTGACATCTGTGGTTGTTCTTTAAAAACCTGTTAGTACGTATTTTCATGGATTCATTCATCTTGATAATTTTGTGGATGTATCTTTGATTTGTGTCAACCATCTTAGGGTAATTCTTCTTTTGGGTCTGTGAAGCTGTAACCTTATATGGTGAAACATGTAAATTGTAGCAGATCTATGTTTGGCTAGGAGCCAACCATATGTTGTCAATAACTGTTTGCTAGACAAAGAGCCACATCTGTTACGTATACAAATCAGTGTCATGTCATCTTTATTGCTTTATAGTGATGTACCCAAATGGAAAGGAATTTGTGGGCTGTACCTTCTAGCAGAATATACGCAACACTGTGAAGATGAAGACTGGGCCACTTTGCCAATGATTGTCAATGATAGCAAGCGATTGTGAGATCTTGGTCAGCATGGGTCAGCAATGGTCCGCACTTTGTCACGTGTGTTGTGTTTCTATGTTGTCTGACCATGGCTGTGGCTCTAAGATGATCCACAGTCTGTTTCACGATTTCACCATTGTCCATCTACTACAGAAATAACCCCCACCTAACAAAAAATCTTAAAAATGTTCATCTTCTGGACTTCTGAGTTATTTATTTACCTTGTATTGCTGCAAGCATTGATGGATCTGTGTGTGCAGTGGTTGGTTTTCTAACCCATTCTTTTGGACTTTGCTATTTCAGGTTCATAGTCTGACAGCACATTCGGACAACCAATTTCCAAAGGCCAATTACTTTGGAACTTTTATTTTTTAATTAGCTGTAATTTTGATTTATTTATTTTAAATTAATTTAACCAGGAGAACCTCATTGAGATTAAGAATCTCATTTACAAGAGTGTCCTGGCCAAGAGGGGCAGCAGCACAACAAAAAGTTACAGACATAAAACACAGAGTAATTACAACACAGTAATTAAACTGCAGCATCACATTTGCTGTTTGCCAGTATGTTCTTCTCCACTCTTTTTTTTATTGATATTGTGATGGCAAATATTCTCATTCTAGCTTTGCATAGCGGACTCGCCCGCCACTTCCACGTCTCCTTTTTATCTCATGTCTTGCATCAGGAGAAAAATTCGGCTGTTTGCATTCACACATGGAGCTCACAGGGTGAGTTTTTCTGGAGTTTTTCAGGAGTTTTTTTTTCCAACTGTCAACAAGGTTTAACACTCTGCAGTATTGGGAGTACGTTGGAACAGTCTGTGATGAACGAGGTATTTATCCTGTCAGCCTCTGCTCCTCTGCTGTACCTTCTCAGTGTGGCTGCCAGAGCTATAAACCTTTGTTTAACTCTCTCCTGGGCCTTAAATGTGGACATTCAGATGTTTTCCTTCAGTAGCCAGGACCTGATATTGATCGGTACACCCTTCTGTAGTTAATCCAGCTTTTTTTTCTACATTTGTTTTCTTTATATTGGTTTCAAATTGTAGCTTCCATTGAAGATAATTGCTGTGACTTGCTGTACTTAGCTTGTAGCTAAGAATATCTGTTTTTATTGCTGTGGCACGTTCCACTTTACTGGATGCTTTTAGAGGGTGGTAGTAATTTAGATTGTGAGTAGTACTGCACTAGCACCTGCTGTCATACCGTTTAAGGTACATTGTCAATCATCTTTGGCAGTTAAGGTCACACTCTCACATCTGTCTATTGCGTCACATTGTGCTCACCTCACCTGCTGTTAACTCCATCAGTCTCAAGTCCAAAATTGTTCCCACAACTCAATATCACACAAACATACATATACACTAAGAAAGCAGATGGTTGTGCTACATTGCATCAGGCTTTGTATTGGAATGCTCATTTTGTTACCTGTTTTTTTTCAAACGACCTGTGGGACTCACTCTGCAGTCCTCTCACACTTTCTCTTCTCTCCTCCTCCTAACTCTCCTAACTCGATGCCCAACCGAAAGCAAGATGCCTAATTAGCAATTTGTTAAGGACACTGTCTCCCCTAGGGCGACTGCAGTCTCAGAAGGCACAACATAAAAGCAGGCTGACCTGAAAAAGACCCCTAGTAAAGCAGGGACGGAGGTAGGAAAGTGGTGGAACAGAGGAGGATTATGAATGGGGGATTCACAAGGGAATTGGTGGTGTCTTGCGTCGGGCAAAATTGTTGTGTTTTAGATTGCTAGTTCAGTTTGTGAGTTGATAGAGTTTCTCTGGATGAGGCAAAGTCTTAAGCACCCTGCTATGTGTTTTTATTGTCAGTTATAGTCATGCACAAAAACACACCCACAATTAATGCAGTTGATTTCACTGGAGATGAAGAGCAAACACTTGAAACATGTTTTCGGGCTGCAGCTTGTTGATAAAACGGCACTTTATAATCTTTAGATTTTTGGTGTACTGTAAAGTGTGCTATATTCTTGCTTCAATGCTAGTCCCTTTTAAGCGTTGAACGTCAAAATCCAATTTCTTTATGAGTAGAATATACCAAAGAATTGCTGGTCACAGACTCTTAAATTTGTAATTTTGCTTGCCTTTCTCTGATTTCTATTCTTTCAAATTAAGAATACATAAAAAATACTGGTCAACACAAACATTTTGTAATTTTAGTCAGACCTCAGTAACTTAAACATTTCCCACATTTTCACCTTTTGAAAATCCATAAAAATACAAGAGACACGTTCTGGCACTCTTTGTCCCTTTAAGGTTATGCAGTTCAAATAGCTCTACAATGATTACTTGATATGAATATGTACTATATGATTCATGCCTTATATTTAGCATTTGGTGGTTCCACTTCTGCATTAGAGCTGAAGGACTTACCCTCAATGATCTCCTTTCTCTCCTCACAGTGAATTGAATTCCAAACTACAAGACACTCTGGAGCAAATCGAGGTACGTGCACCTCTGCTTTTTCTCTAATTCCATTATTTGAAAGCAAATCAGTAAAGAGGCTTTTCGTAGCCAACAATATCTCGCTCTCACCTTGTGATTTTCGAGAAGCTCTCATTGAGAAAGAAGCAACTTCTACTCCATTTTGACATTTTAATAGTTTCACTTTCTTACTCTGGGCCTAGCAAATATTGACACATTCAGAAAGTCATCATTTTGAGGGGGTGAGCACTGTGAATTATATCTGTTTTATCTGTGGATGTGTCGTGATACTTTAGTGTGATAAATGGTATGCAAAGCAATTTTCTCTGTAACACTGCTGCTGCGCTTGAGTAGATTAATTACCTACAGATCTGTCTGTACACAGGGAACAGGCGTGCATGTGCACATACATACAAAGCCAGGCACCGAGGTGCTCGTTTGTTTACCTGTCAGTCAGAGTTTCTAAATAAGCAAAGATAAATCTTCTCAATCATAAAGGTAAACAATTGCACTAGGGATTTAACCAACACTTTCACCTTTAGAATGCTTAAAGCAAAACATTTTCTAAGTATATATGCTCATGAATCATATGTACAGCATATCTGGCTATAAATAATAACATATGTGTATTCATATATATATATATATATATATATATACATACACACATTATATTTGTTATCCAGCATGTTTAACTCAATACAGATGGTATTGCTTCGTGGTCAGTCTAGTGCAATGGTTTCCAACCTGGGGCTAAAGTCCCCCAAGGAGCGGTGCCAATCTGCCCCCCTCTCAGATTGTCCAAATTATTTGCACATAATAAAAAAAAGCTTGATAACATACAAACTGGATAGTTTATACAAAGGCAATGTATCTGTACTTTTTTGTGCGGTTCATTGCGGGAGCTCGGCTTTTCTAAGATACTAGAAGTGTGGGCTCCAAAGAAAAAAGGTTCTGAGATATGTAAGATATCTACTGAATTGAATCATGAAATGACCTTACTATATCATCAGACATTAAGTAAACATGCTATGTTGAAGTGCTGGCTTCTCTTTCAACAACACAGCAGCCAGTATGTCCTCCTTCGAAGTTTTGCCCCTCGGTTTGTCAGGCAAACGGCAAACCAACAGGTGTTCAGCGATCAAAGCGTGAAGGTAACTGGTTTAGATATAACCGATTCTTCCTGACTTAAAAAGCTCCACCACCAGAAACTTGAAAAAACTAGGATAAATATTGGAGATGCTTTTGAAAAAATGGAGAGAGGTTAGAATAATTTATCATCTGGTTAGAACGCAGAAATGTTTCATGACCAATGCAGAGCTGGCTAAACACTGAAGCTTCCGTGTCTGCGACATGGCAACCTGCGTGCACATTGACTCCAGGGACGAGCGGACGGGGGGGACAGCTCTTTCCAATGTTTTGAATTTTGCAGTACCCATTTTAAACACTTGGTGTCAGAGTTACATATTGGTCCTTTAAAGCCACCTACAAAAATAAATAGGAATCATTATAAAAAAGTTAGACAACCCCGTGGAACATCAGCAACAGAAAGTGTTGCTTTGGGCTAATTTCATTGTCACTGGATGATTGTTCCTGTGTAGTAATAGGGTACACAAAAGAATGTATACATAGTTGATTAAATTATGAAATAACAAATTCAAAAGTACAATTACAAAGTACTTTAGAAGTATGAAAACATGTAATTAGATCAATTACCATTGGCCAAAGTTATTTTTGTTGGTCTTTCCTCCAAGTATTTAGATAATGAGCTCAGTTCAAATAGTAATGGCAGCTACTGCTGCTAAATCCCTGTGCAGAGTTTCAGTGAAAAGACAGCTTTAAGAATCAGCTTTAAGAATCAGATGTAGGCTGCAGATTAGCTGTACAGATAGGAAGACAGTTAAGTCTTTAAAATATATTTTTAAGAAAGTATTTTGCAGATTTTTACACAGCAACGGGTCATAAAGCATTGATATCTCAGAGTGTGCTGTTATTTCGACTTATCCCTGTTTCATCTCCCCGTGTCCATATTTATCATGCACGTATCAGCTGGTAGCGGCTTAGAACATTAATCAGAAACTTAACGCTAGTAAGGTTATGGTAATGGGAGAAAATAAATGTTTCTCACAGCAAACAAGTTTCTCACAGAGAGATTTCTGTTTTGTGTTTGCTAAGTTGATATCCCTGATGGGGGGGTAACAAATATGCTACTGTTATTGAATTGATGCTGCATGTTATGTTTATGTTCCTCAGCCATTGGTTACAATAGTTGGGCCAGTAATCTTGAACGCCCGAATTTAACTTAATGTCAACCCCTGTAACTGCACTGTGTTTAAGAGCTGTTTTGAACACATGTTCACACAATGTGTTTGATCACACAGCCTTTGTCATTAGTATTCTATAAGGTCAACTTATTGTGTTAGGGTCGTTACTCCTTCATGTGCTTCCTAACTTCTGTCTGACCTTGTCCCACTTTCTCTTTTTATGTCTTTGTCAAAGACTTTCTCACATACACACTCATTTATAAACCCCCATCCATATCCTGTTACCTGCCCTTGGCCCTGTGCGGAAGCGTTTCATCTGCACATCTATATCTAAATCCCTGGTCTTAGTGCTGATAATCCCTCTCTTTTCTTACCCCACCACACACACACACACACACACACACACACACACACACACACACACACACACACACTTTTCCTCTTTCCTTTTTCCCTTTGTCATCTCTCTATTTCTGCCCACAGGAGCAGCTTGATGTCGCCCTGTCCAAGACGTGTAAAAACTTTGATGTGTCGCACTACACCAAGGTCCAGCTGGCCTACACACTCCTCGGCAAGACACAGGTCAGTAGTTCGACTCAGTGACATGGTCATGGGGAATGACTAAACATGAATGGATGAGAAGCCCCCATTGATGCCAACACTTGCTGCACATTTCAAGTGTTTCTATATTTTTTCAAACTTTTTCAAACTGTTGATTAGACCAGTTTGAACAGGCTGGCTGAGTATTCATAGAATACAAGAGATTTAATTTGGCCATGCTATCCTAAATTGATATTATATAATGTCTATGTCTCTTCTAGTCCCAGTAGATAATATAATTGTCTAAAGAGACAGAAATCACCCACAAAGAAAAGTCTTCAAAAAGAATCCCTAGATAATATCAATTAAGCCCTCAAATCCTCAACACATTGAAGACGATACCTTCTCGACAACATGTTTGTGTCTGATATTGTTGTGCATTTGATTTGAAGGCGTAAAGCCTTTGCGTTAACAAAGAACAATAACAACAGATCACTGTAGTTTCTGATAGGAATGTCTGGGAAGAAATGTAAGAGACTGTGATGTAATGATATAGATGTTTTAGAATGTAATAAAACCACCTTCTCATGTTCTCTACATCACATTGTTCAGCTCTTGGAAATCAAAGTTGGAAATCTGAGTTTCATTGATAACTTGTGTCATATATACATTAACAACCAAACAAAGAGCGGCTTCCTCGTGCTTGTACTCAGCATGTCAATGTTATTCTAAATCTGACCCAGTGTTAATGTTCTGTTATGCTATAAAACTATTGACGTATACAGCCATCCTTTGGGGCAGAACTGCGTCTGTAAGGCTTTTTGAGACTGTATATTCATCAGTTAGGCATTTGATCCATAAATATTCTTTAAAAAAAGAAGAAAAAAAAGGTAAAATATTGTATCCCAAAAGACATTATAGCTCCAAATCTCTAACTTAAGCAATAGAGGAGTAAAGGAACAACAAAATACCAGGTTTCTTAAGCAGAATCTTGATAAATCACTCAAAACTAGATGCATACGGATGAAAAAAACAACACAAATGGTTATATTGAGAAGGAAAGGCTTTGAAGAAATACTGTTATGAAGTTTTCTCTGTATGAATAATCAGCAACAAAGACTCTAAACCATTACTTTATTGATTGATTGATTGATTGGCAATAGATTTGATATCTGATTCATCGATATTAAGAGACTTCTGAATGCAGCTTTGAAGCTTTTACTGCTTCTTTCTAAAAACTAGCGTTTACATCATTCTGTTTTGTTGCACTAATATAAACAGATCTGAATGATGACCCGATGAATGACCTGTGTTATCCAAATGGAGCTGGGCTCAGTGTTATGAGCTTCTAAAATCCTAAAAAAAATAGGATAATACCTCAGACCATTCGTGTCTTTCTTCTCATAATTCTCCTCATATTGTGACATTTGTCTGAAGTAAACATCTACGTATTAGTAGTTTGTTTCATTTAGAAGTTGATGATGCCATAAGGTCATGTGCTGAAATATATAAAGGTTACTGTGATTTGAGAAGCCAAAGTTTCTTTTTTCCTCGCTAGTCATGGTTTTGAACAGCCAGCAGTTTTCCCAGTGTTTCTAGGGCAGATGAAGTGACTCTCTCAGAAAAGTGGGGTATACATGTTTAAATTACTTTTGTGGCAGCAGGCACTCAGAATGGATGGGGGCAACATCTTGGGGTTCAGGAGTTTGCGGCAAGAAAATCTAATTGCTCTGCAACACCCATTACCTATAGGGCTTAGTTCAATGCTGTGCCAGAGTCTCCTGCTACTCTGGTGTCCTCAATTCACTGGGGTCCCACGGTGAGACTGTGGGTGGGAGCTGAGAAAGAGATGGTAAATGTATCTTTAAAATAGAATAAGGGATAACAGACTTTTGATTACAAAGGGATAAATGCAGTGCGATGGAGCCTCATGGTTTTTGAGCAGTTCTTGGATGTACTTGTAGATTAAATCCTTGATTACAAATGATCATTGAAGTTTACTTTAGTTCTGATATTATGGCTGATCCAATCAGTATTTATCAGGAAATTATTTCCTAACGAAAACGCCCTGTAAGCTTTCTGACAAGGACCTGGCTGCATACGGACTAAATTTGTGACTAGCTGGAGAACACAGTGAAGCTTCAAGCTACTGATATTTCATACAGGAGATTTGGGAAATGATGCCATAGCTCAATGAGGATTATTTATTCCACTTGAAAGTGGTTTTCCTAACAATGTGTTTGACTCTCTCTGCAGACTGCCATGGACCAGCTGCACATGCACTTCACCCAGGCCATACACAACACCGTTTTCCAAGTCGTGCTCGGATATGTGGAGCTGTGCGCCGGCAATGCCGATACCAAGTTCCAGAAAATGCAATACAAGGACCTTTGTACGGTAAGACAGATGAGTGTGTGTTTGTGTAGAAGGTCAATTTATTCCACCGACATTAGTCCATTCTGACTGTAATTTCCCAGTGATTTCTGGCGCTAAAAGGTCCAGCCCCCTTTTCTTTTATGCCAGTGTCAAGTCTAACCACTTCTGTAGTCGGTTAAGTGAAAGTGTGAACGAAAACGTCCACCTACGAAGTGCTGAAAGGGCTTTTGACACACTGCTGAGCACATTTTACTCACATTACTCCTTTAGATGTCTTACTGCCATGTAGCCAAGTGAAAAAAAAAAGACTTATTTCACGTGTAGGGAGCCCACAGATTCTCCATAATTGAATGAAATAAATGAGTGGGGGAGAGCGTGGAGATAATCGGGGTAAAAAGTACATTCTAGCCCCTAACTCTGAGATAACTAATCCTGCTCACAATACAGAACCAATGCACTTCAGCAGCTGCATTATTTGACCAGGCTCTTCATGTTGGCTTTCCTTTACCCCAAAGATCAAAATATATCACATTTGCGTGGCCACATTACAGTAACTTTGTGAATTCATCATATATTTGCAGCTTCAGTCTGACCTTCAATGTGAAAGGGTATATAACAGTAAGGTTAAGGTTATCTCTGCCTGATCAAGGGAAACAATTTGTTTGCCTCTCCCAGTGTTTCTGCACTTCACTTTTTTTCTCCCTCACCCTCTGGCTTCATATTTTGCCTGCTGTGTGAAAGCACAGCTTTAACTAGAGGAGATGCCCGCTGTGCTCATAAATCTACAATGCCCTGTCCTTTACCTCTTACCTTCATTCTATCTCTCCTCCACTTCACTCCTTTGCACCAGCTTCCTGTCTATTATGCTCCCGGTTTCCCTACCACATTTGGATTGTGGCTTAAAGATGAGCAGTAATGATTTTATAAAAGTCAAGGGACTTCTTTTAAAGGTTTCTTTTTGTCTGACATGGTTTCAGATCCAGAATGGCATTCTGCCAGAACGAGCTGAAAAGTGAAATATCTGGAGTACTACTGTTGCTTCAAACCTGCTCAGTTCTGTTGTTTCAATGGGGATAATTTACAACTGCTAATAACTAATATATTTCATTTAATATTTCATGTGTAATAAAAGATTGTAAGGGAGTAATGCTCTTCAATCAAAAGTTGAAACTTTCATGGAAAAAACTTTATTGCCTACTCTGCTTGCCTTGCAAGAACTTGGTAGAGAAATTAGAAAAAAAAAATGTGGATCTTAACAAACACACTTTCATAATAATGAAAAATAAAACCAATGTGGATTTGCAAAGTCTTGCAGTCTGTAGATCTTGGTAATGTATTGTTATGTTATGTTGCTTTTTTTATTTTTATTTTTTAGATTTATTTTTGGACTTTTCGTGCCTTTAATGCAGAGATAGGACAGTGGATAGAGTCGGAAACCAGGGAGAGAGAGCGGGGAATGACATGCGGAAAGGGGCCACGGGTGGAAGCGAACCCGGGCCTACCGCTCGAGACGAGAGTCTCAACACATGGGACGCGCGCCCTAACCATTGCGCCACCAGCGCACCCCTATGTTATGTTGCTTTGATTCACCTTTTTGCCATCAGTGTATAATTTATTTTTAATGAATGTAGGGATAAGTTTATTTGCATATATTGGCCCTAATAATTTCTCCTAAAAGGCTTGATGCCGAAACACGCTCAAGTGTGTTTTTTAAGGTCCACAGGGCCATGCCGTGAATATAAAGGCATTTAAATTGTTTAAAAGATGATGCTTAAAGACTGCTTGCATCCCTGTACAAGGAGTACCTCAAACCAACACCCTTTTTGAGTCTGGGTAGTGCTTCTTTCTACATTTCTTGGTAGATAAATGATTGGACCAATTTTTATTTAAACTTTAACAAGCTTTAGTAACCCTGTAAAATACACATGCATGCATACAGTAGCTACACGCTCGTCCTAATGTTTACATGTGTTTGATAGATACCCTGTCAGCACGCGGTGTTGCCTGGGTGAACTCGTGCCACAAACACACACATCTTCTGTACAAACAATTTCACCGACTCAAGATTGACTGAACGTGTCTTTACACTCACAGCTGTGTGACCGTTATTGATGGGGCAGCACATACACACACAATCACACACACTCGAATGCTTGATGAGGGTTGTGTGATCATCCACACAGTGTATATGCATGGTTGACAACAATCTATTTAGAAGAACTAAACTTACCAATAGAAAATAAATGTCTAGATTAGCTGCACACTCACTGTTCCTCCTAGTGTTTGTAAACAGAAGCTAAAAGTCTGAAAAAAAGCTTTTTTTCCCCCCCAATGCTTTCTGAGTATTTGAGATGTCCCTGAGTTGTCCCTCTGAGAGTTTGTATGGTAGTTTTCAGAAAAGACGCACATATTGACTCTTTCTCACTAGTGTTTGAATTATACCGGTGACAAGACCGGCTGAAAATATGTGTAATCAGCAAAGCAATACTCTCTGCTTCAACAAATACCATTGATTAGCTCTTGAGTTAGGTATTGAACTTGCTTAGTATAGATGTGGGCATGTTGGTGTTTGTAGAATGAAGCAAACTTATCCAGTTATTCTGCTGATAAATAAAAGGTTAAGAAAATGCTAAAGCCACATAAGACCCACTGAACTTTCCTCTTAGTTATGCAACTTAAAATTCAAGGGAACTGGGAGCAGTCAGAAAGGTCAGCTCAGATTGGGAGAGGGTCTTATTAATTTTACATCAATACTCATCATTATTGTACAGCCTCACTCCTCATCAATCCCCTGGTCTGTCTGGCTTTTCTGCTGATGGAAATAGGACAGTTGAGACCTAGTTTCATTGGACGTTCTTGTGGGAAAGAAGCTGACTATAAATGCAGGACTTTATAATGTACTGCATACCAAAACTTTGGTTTACTTCCTGTTCTTACTAATTACATCACAGAAGTATTTATAATCATCCAGCCAACTGGTGGCTTTCTAGACTTAAATATATCATCAAATGGCAATATACTTAGATAATTGTTATTTCTGATAATTACATATTTTTATATATATATATATATATATTATATAAGGTTTTGTAGGATATGGAAGCCTCTAGAACGGCTGGAGAGACTAGTATTTTTTTTATACAAGACCATTAGCACTACTGATGATAGACAAATCACTCCAATAGTATTATACAATGGCACATCAGTAACCCACAGTGATCCATCCCTTTCTCTGTTGTGAATCGTCCCATTATTTTGATATGAGCTGACCTGTAGTGCAGTTATGTAACAATGATGGGCCATTTTCACACTCTGTAGTGGATATAAACCCTTTTGCTTTTTCCGTGTAAAGCATTGCAATAGTCTTAGGCTGGCATTTTGTGTTTACTTATCCGTGTCTACAGATAGCCTCATTACAGATGAAAACTTGTCATTTGGCAAACACTGTACATCTTGTCATCCCACACTATGGATGAAAACTGATGTTTCATGTTATTTGTTGTTATTACTCTGTCACATCAGTGACAGACATCTAAATACTGCAGCTGTTTTTCATTGAAAGTGTTTTTTCTTTGAATTATTTTCTCAGAGGAATGCTTGTTTGATTTTCAGATTTTCAGAAGGGGGATGCCCAGTTGATTAGATGTTTTTCTCTTTAGTTTACTGGCCACATTTATCTGTTTCGGGGCTATCTGCAGTTTAAACAGTGACAAAAACACCTTCCTATGAAAACCAAGAAGACTAAATGAATGTCTTTGACTTTGCATGATTGAAAACTTATTTCTGTGCAAAATTTGAATTGCATACTCTTTGTTTAACAAAAAATAATTCAACCATTAATTTAATGATTTAAGTATAGATAAATATCCTTTGACAAAAGCATCAGTAAATGACAATGGAATCCAGAAATTCAGTTTATTTATTCCTAGGGGTGTACCACAGGGTTCTGTTTTGGGTCCTTCTTACTTTACATTGTATGCAGTGGCAGCTGGTGCATCATTCTCCAGGGGGAGTGCAATTTTTTAACAGAAAAACAGGGATTACATCTGAGTTCTTTAGCTTGATACTAACACATAGGGATGCCATTAACTTGCTACCAGCATTGTGATCCCGGTAATTTCAATTTAAGAAACAATCTATTTTGCCTAACATTGTTAAGGGATGGCTAAGTCCTCCATTTATACCAGCCACCCCTGACTCTATGGAAGACTTTTTGTTAACCTTTACGAAGATACCATTTCATAAGTACTGTGAGACTTTCAGCTGCTGAGTCCTTTTTTTTACTGATGTAATACCATCAAGAATGCTATAGAAAGATCTAAAACCTTTCAAAAACAAATATTTTCCTTTCTAGCTGATTCAAAAGGGAGTAGTAAGGGAATGGTATGTCCTTTGAAGATATTTATGATTACCTAGGAATCCACTGATATTACGTGTTGTGTCATACATCATATTTTTTGACTTTACAAAATTCTCTCTTTGGAAACTACATCACAAAGTCATTTCAAGACATGGTCTGACTGATTTCCTTTTTTAGAGCCTGTTCTCTACTTTGCCTCTTTGCTTGCACAGCAGTTCCACATTTTGCTGACTATGTTTTGATCTCTTGCAGGTTAATATGTTTGTTTATGTCTTTCTTGAAAGGAGGGGGTAGTGATTATATTTCCATAAAGAATGTGAATCAGCTAAATCAAGACTACCTGCAGTCTCTTGCACATCTCTTTTGCCAGAGTCTGGCAATTCTTTCATTCGCTCTACTCCACACGCCCACACTTGACTGAAAAAAAGCTCTCTTTTATAAACTCCCTGACACAGCTTGGCATATGTTTTGTGCATAATGACAGGTAGCTGTCTTTAGATCCAAAATAGATTCAGATCCTTCCTATTTGAACTCATACTCCAGCAAGCTGGATATCTTTTTTTTCAGAACTTTTTATTATAATATTTTCCTGTGTTACCTTACCACAGGTATGACTTGTAGTATTATATTCTCAGTTGCAGCCTTTAACATATAGTCACACAAACAGACTTGATAGGAAAGCAGTTTTGGTAGGATTAGCTGAGGTTACTTCTAATTGTCTGACCCACTGAAGATCCTAACGAACACCCACGCTCCTACCACTTATCCAAATGTCATGTCCTCTCACCCCAGTTGCCTGGCAACATGCTGCAGCATTACAGTTGGCTGGTGAAGCACATGGGGTTTTAAGCATAAGCCTTGCTTTGTCAGGACTGGTTCATTAGCTTACCTGTGTGACTGGTGATGCTGGAGTCTGTTTTGTAACTTGAGCTGTTTATCTCCATTTAATTCAGATATTTTTCCTATTTGGTAGTGCTAGATTGTCTGATTTGAGTAAAATGCCTGATGATCGTTTGAATGAAACATAATGGTTGTGTCATTTAGTGTTACTATTTTATGCCTTTATTTCATACTGGATACACTAAAATAATATATACAAGATTTAGGTGTGTTTTAAAAAGGAATTTTTAGAGATCACTGACTCGTGACCTCGTGTGGATAGTTCCACAGTTACAGAGTACTAACAGGAAACGCTCTGCCTCTTTTAGTTTTCGGCCTACGGGAACACACAATACACCTCTGCTGGAGGATATAACTGCATGTATCTCATTTCCCCTTATATTTAAAAATTCCAATAATTCAGCTTTAAAGAATTTTCTGTGACAGTAGAGTTGTAGAGGTTTGTTCTTTCTTTATTGAAGTATAACATTTGTGATTTGTTAATGATGATTAAGTGGATAAATAAAATCAATATTGAATAAAAAACATACATTTTCAAAAGGCATGGTGTTTTAAAATGCAATAGAGAATGGATGCCTAATAGTTTAATGAATGTGTAATGTTAAAATGTATTTGACAGCATCTCCATAGATCCCCTATGTGTGCCTTGCCAATGTTGAACATCACAGTTTTAACATTTTAATTTGAAGATAGTGTCTCTACAATAGTCCTTGTCAGTAGTGAAGTCGTACCTGTTGTGCGATTTAACTTTCTTTAGCAAAAGCTTGTTATCCACTTACGGCATTGGTGGTCATTACATGATACAAATGTCTCACTAAAAATTGATTAGCTAAACAATCAGCTTGGCAACTAATTGTTTCTTCCTCAGGTATTCAGACATGCTAGAGGATTTTTTAAAATAAGCTTAAGGTTTTACTTCTGTCAGTGTTTTGTGAGGATCTTAATATAACACATGCATTTTATTCAGACTGGATTCTGAAGTGTTCGTCTGTTGGATGGGTGCAGGAACAACAACAACATGGATTATTCTTGGATTGTTTTCTACCATATATAGCTTCTTTCTTGGGATTTAGAATCACTGTGAAATGCATCAAAGTGCAGTGATGGAGTTGAGGTTAATGCCTGGGTTGATTTCTATTTTCAGATATGTTGGTAGATAATTATTGATTAATTCTAAAAGAAGACACAAGTCAAATTGTTATTAATACACATTGTTGTCTTGTTACCCAGTTCCCACATTAGTTATTGATAAGTGATTAAAACATCAATCAAAACAAATACATATTGTATCTACTTCAGCAGAAAAACAAAGACTTTTATTATGTCTACTTTAGGTTTTTAATTTTCCTAATACTGATGACATCCAGAGGGGGCGGAGCCATCAGTGACTCGAACTGATCCCAGACTGCCAATCAAAGCTTTCTCATTGGTTTGAACACCAAGCAAGAATCTGAGTGGTTGATTGAAATAAAATCTGAGTCTGCAGAGTCTCCAGATGCTGAATGTGCAGAAACAATAAGAATACAAAGTATTTTATGAAAGCAATACATCACTTGAGCCTCCAGAATATGAACATTATTTTAACAGCAAATAAAGAACTTTCTAAAGCACAAACAGATTATTAGTATATATCTACACTATTTGATATCCACAGGACTTAGATATATAAAGGAAAACATCTACTGAAGGGTGTAGTTACCTTGACAACCATGCAGTAAATTACCTTTTTGAGAGTGGTTAACTGAGACCCTTGTTTTACAAGACTGCGAACTGCTGTTTTCTTTTAAAGATAGCATAAAAACTGTGTTTTTATTCCCAATAATACACAAATCACCTGTGTGTTTTATTTTTGAACAGAGTTGGTATCATATAGTATAAACGCCCCGGTTAAGTGCTGAGTAGAGATATTTTTAAATCCATATTCAGTTCATTAATAATACATCCTTTAAACAACACCCTTTTATATACTGTATATCAGTTCTTACAGTAGTAGCTCTTAAATGATGTTCAGTTGGTCCTTACATAATTTATCCCTTAAAAATGCTCTAAGTGCTTCTTATTACACAGAAAAAACTAGTTTTCAGACAAAGTGTCCTTGGATGATGAGCATAAGCAGGCTTTAATTAGATGTTAGAAAGAGGACAGTTTATTTTGAGTTGTTTGTTAAATCTCATGCTTGATTTTAAAATTGTCCAGGACAGTGTGTTTTATCACTCTGAAATTATCCTTTTTGCTCTTAATAATTACAAAACAATCGTAGCACAGATGACATAAAATGAAGTATACAGAATACCTCACGTTTAAGAACAATGAAGTACAGAGCATCAGTGACTTTGTTTTCTTCTCTTCTCTTTATTGGCAGCATATCACACTGGACAGCTACATACCGTGCCTGATGGATCTATGCAAGGCATTATGGGAGGTGATGCTGAGCTACCATCGCACCATGCAGTGGCACGAGGAGCATGACAAACTGGAGACTGCGCCCACTCCAGGTAAGAGTCTTAACACCTCTTTAACACAATCACCATTGTATTTGTCCAAGATATATATTCAGCTAAAATCTTCCTTTAGTTCTGACCTGACAAATTGCAAAAAGGAATACCCCATGCTCTGTAGAGAAATGTATCTTTGTGCAGTCACATATTCAGGAAGGAAAAAGAGCATGTCATAACCTCTAGCATAGAGAGGAAGAGTGTCACTTACTTGCACAAGCGAGTATTTTGTGCCTCAAAAATATCCGTCCTTTTTTCATTTTAGCACCCTCAAATCTCTCTTTGTCACCTGCTTTTCTTTGACTTCTTTCATTGAGATATACTCATAAACACCAAAAAAAAATCGGTATCGGCTCCCCGTACGGCAAGATGAAGGAGTAACTCACAAATTCAATTCACAAAGAAGATAGGGTCAGCTCTCTTCACAAGCTCAGGAGTGCGCTGCTTCTCCCTGGCTGTTTGGTTTTGACATACTGTAGGTTTATCAGCTTTATAGCCGGCATGAAAGGAATGATTGAATCTGGGCTCATGAAAAGAGAAGACAGCATTCGGGTGCTCCGGTGCAGAACAGAGTAGAGTGGTGCGGGCGCTGAAGCTGGATTTATTTTCCAGCTCTTACTGCGATCCTTTTCAGCTTAGAGGTCACTGAATGAGTCAGTGGTGGAATAAACACCTCTGATTGGACTATTGTTGATAAAGCATCTCCTCTCTTCAACAGTACAAATAGATGTGCATCATAGTGCGTTCTTTGTGATAAGTAATTTTGTTCCTTTATCAATTTAAAATGAGTTGGACAGTGTGTCGTCATTGGGTGAATAGAAATTAATACATACACATTGTAGGTTTTACATAATTAACATGACCCATGTTTCAAGGATAAGTGTTTAAGCAGGTGATGAGCCATGAATAATTTATTTATTTCTCAGGAAAAAGTCTCATGCATTACATTGAGCGGCTTTGTTACAATGCTGATACAAACAGAACTTCAGGATACAAACTGTAACATCCTTTAAATATGTTTCATATAAATCCACACATGGGCCTCTTTTTGTGCTGTTGTCAGCAACATTCTTGATCATCCACTAATTAGATCTCAGACTCTTCCTGTTTTAATGGTGTTAAGGCCCTGATACACCAAGGAGATCGTCAGCCGTCGGTCCCAGTTGGACCGCCAGTGAGTAATCGTCGCCCTAATTTTTGCGGTGTGTCCGGCTCCGTAAGCCCCGTCGGACCCCATCGGCCCCCGTCGGTGGTTGGTGAGAGGTTTCATGTAACTCCAGCTCTCGGCACAGGTTCGGGAAAGGCCCTTAAGCAGAGCATGCTGCTTTAGGATCCGTGCTTTCACCCATTAGTCCTGTTTCTCCTTATTTGTCGCCTCTAAGAGCAAGGGCTGACAACGCCAGTGCCATTTTCAACTTTTAATCAGACTTTATTCTTGATTAGAGGTACCTATATGAGGCCAATGAGTGGTGACCATAGTGTCAAAATATTAAGGTGGCGACTGAAAGCGGTGTGAAAATGTTCTTCTCGTATCATAACAATGAACTACCGCCGCCTGCTGGCATGGGGAGTTATTTCCTCTGAGGCATCTGCAGAACGTACGTGGTGGTTGACACAAAAGAGAAGAGAGCATTTGAGTGCAACTTTTTGGCCAGGACAAAAGGCAACGTGAGGCCATGCCACAGTCGGTCTTCGTCGCCACTATTTCTTTGCCGTTTGCTTGGTGTGTCAGGGCCTTCAAAAAAGAAATAGCAAGTAGCTGTTCTGTGCTAGCATTTTGTACATTTCGTGATGCTAACAGTACCAAGTTCCCCGTCTCTTCTCTGGAAACTCAGTAAAGCTGCACTCAGGTTCTGGCCCATTAGGAACACCAAGATGACTGAACACCACATCTGTCCAAACCCAGAGCTTATGTCTGGATCAACAAGGAAAGTCTCACTTGTGTCATCACTGCCTCCCTCCATCCTGCCTTCAGTCCGCCAGATGTGCAAACATCAGCCTCGGGAAGCTCAGTTGTCAAGGCAATGCATACTCTGCGGTTTAACAGTAAGCTCTTCTAGAAGTTTGTCTTACCCGCGTAAGAAAAGAAACCCACACTGGAGTTGGTGTATAGCAGTTTTAACCTCATCCCTGTTTATATCATTTGTCTTACCAGAGGCTCCGTCAGATATTAGCTGCAAAAGCAGAACTGTCAAATTAGCTACCTCCTTCTTGCTGCGTATTGAAATATCGCTCATTCCCCCTCTCCCGTACTCTACAGAATCAATTTGTGGAATGGATGAGCACACAAGGGTATCCTGAATGCCTGGTGACATGCTAAGTCCTCACAATTCTTTATTAGAGGCTATCCTCTTGGGAGGGGGGGACAGGGAGGACATACAACACATTCCCCTTCATGGGGCCCATCTATCATCTCACCATTTGATTGGCTGTCACCTCTGCACCCTTGCCCCCCCATCTAAAGGTGACCCTGACCTCGCCTTTGTCCTGGCTGTAACCTCTTTCTCCCTACTTTAATGTGTGCATTGGGTCCATAAGTGTAGTGATTGCCTGTATAGCCGTTGTCTCATTTGTGGAAGAGTGTTTTGAGGTGACCCCCATCTCTCGCTCACACACACACACACACACACACACACACACACACACACACACACACACACACACACACACACACACACACACACACAGCAGTCACACCCACTCAAGATCATTGTCTTCTGTGACTTGACTGTCACACATCTCACCTCTACCGTCAGCAAGGAAGCAATTAGAGAATCCCAATGAATTTAGCTGTTGACACCTGAAATATTGAGCCAGCTCCTCATTTTTCAGTTACTTATTATTGTCTTCCTTTTGCCTATTGTATCTTTAAATATAGCTGTATATCCCTAGTTTCTTCAATTTCTTGTATTGCTTCTATTTCATTCAGAAACATTTCTTTATTTTATTGCTTTGATCTCTTTTTACAGCCTTCAATACTTTGAATTGCCTTTTTCTTACCTCTTTCTCTATTCATTGTTTTTTTTCTTCCAGGCTAATTTATTATCTTTTACAGATTTGTAATGTTTCAACATGTTGTTTCTCTTTCCACACTGCTGCTTTTTTCAGTTCATACATTTTTGCTCCTCCTCCTTCATTATAAAGTAAAATCGAGGATGGCTGTATCCGACTAAAATTACTCAAAATAAGCCGCAAAGTAGCCATCATATTCTCTGTGTTGTTCGTGCGGACGCAGACTCAACCACGAGTCCCTTTTTTAATTGTATTTTTTGAATGTGTGGTTAACTAAAAACGCTTTATGATGAAAGTTAGTCCTGGAGCAGTGTGAGTGCAGGCCAGCGAGGGAATGGGGAGTGGGGACAACCGTGCTTCAGTGTGTTACGGGACAATTGGGCCTAGTGTGACTGCGCCCCTATGTTCTTAGGATGTTTGGATTCATATGTTTTACGGCTCTTTTTTAGTTGTAAGTCAAGGCACTTTCTAAACCTTTGTTTATAAAGTTGCCATACTAATAAAGTTATACGTATTGGAATTATTAATTAATTCCACCACCTGATGAAGGTAACATTTTATTAAATAAAGTATGATACAGGCCAGGGTCTTACCTGCCTGACAAAACAGATTGACTTCTGTGCTTCACACCTGCCATCACTGATCAGCACTGAAGGCTGTCAGGCGCATGGGTTGCTCTGTGTGTGTAAAAGTAAATTACCGTGCTCATTTTGTGGTTTTCTCTCATGTTCATACACAGCATGGGCATAAAGCATAGATTGAAATGTATGAAGGCTCCACTGTGATCAAGAAAACCATTAGTTTTCAGCAGTCAGGTTGAGAATTGGCCTTCACACTTCATTAATGTTCAATAGTAACATAGAATTCAAACTAAACTGAGCAATACGGCATGTGATATAACCTCTGGTTTGGTGACCTTTCTCAGAACATGTTGCAATTTATTGTTTCTGATAGAGCCATTTCATCATACTTTTTATTCCTGCATTTTATTCCTCACTTCCCCTGAGTCAACATCACCAATCCAATCTTTTTAATCTGCCTACAGATCTTGTGTTTATAGTAATTGGATTTATTTTCAAATGTGTCTCCCTTAAAGGTCTTTTGAAATTTACATATACTGTAACATTGAAACCAGCTTTTACAAACATAGAGGTCTGCATGCAAATAAAAAAAACATGATTTATTTTGGGTAAACATCACTGAATAAGTTAATTAAAATGTGTAGGGCATTAAGTGTGATAGCATTTATTCCCCTTGGAATGTAGTGAGGTTTATAAACTATGTGATGAAATCCTGCAGCTCTATATTCTCTAAAATACAGAGCTACTTCTTTTTTTCTTTTTCTTCTTCTGTTATATCATTTTAATGGTTGTCAAAGACAGTTTTTTGTCATTAAGATTTTGGTGTTGTAATACTGAGAAACCATGAGTCGTGATTTCACTGCTCTTTTGCTGATCTCTCACATATTTATGCAAAGTCATGCAAAAAACTTCTCCTCTATGAGTCATAGTTTGAAGTCAGAAGGAAGCCAAGGCCCCTCTGGGTGTTCGTCCTGTGAGTCATCAAGAACTCTGTTACCCACAATCACACCGACAGTCACACAGTGGTTACTACCTCAAGAGTGACAATAAATGGCTTTCTCTATAACTGATCCTTTCCTCCCTCTCCTCAGTAAAGTTTGTGTTAACTGTGATCAAGTTTAAGTCACCCTAGGGAGACACCTTTACCCAGTCAACAGCGACACATCCGCATTCAGAAGAACCACAAAGTAGGGGGGGATGAACTCACACATGTCTTTCAGAACATTAATATACTATGAACATACGTAGATGAGCTGCTAAATGTCAGAAGACGTTTTGAAATCTTGGTTCTCATTATTACATTTTGAATCTAAATAGACTGAGCCAAACAAAATGCTTTCAAAAAGACTCATTGTTTTAACGTTGTAACCTACAGTTTACCTTTTAAATTCATGACATTATGCTTTCTGTAAGCATCCTCCAAAGTATCATTGGAAGTTGCAAAACTTTTGCTATTCCTTGAGAACCGAGGTTATTATGGACTACAACTTAATTTGCACATTTTTGTGCAAGGTATTAAGTCTTAAACAAGTCAATACTCCCAGCTCTGCTTAACCAGTTAACCAGGTTGTCTGACTTTTCTTGGGGCTCTCAGTTATTTCAAACTGTTTCACCTCGTTCTCTCCAAATGTCTTGGCTGTCTCTTCCTCACACCCCTTTACTTTGACGACCACCCTTGTGCTCATTAAATGAATCCCAGATTGGTCAAGCTGCCGTGTCACAATGTCTCCTCAGTCCTCTGTTCGTTCTTTCACTGAACCATACAACTGTTTTCACCAGTTCTGTCCCTACTAATGACCCGAATTACAACCAATGCTATTCTGATCTCAAAAGGTGTTTGATACTTCCTGTTTCAAACCTGCATTTAAGCTCCCACGATATCAGTATAAGACTATTATATGAAAGAAATGGCAGCCGTGGCTGTAGATGTGGCTCCATTTTAAAATGCATCATGAGTACTAACTCCAACTCTAAATCTGTGAAGATTGCGCATGGTAGGTGAGAGGAGATAATACGTGTTCATAATATAACCAGGGAGCTAACCAGAAATTAAACTTGATCTTCTGACAGAAACATGTAGTGAGCTAATTTGTGAGTTTTTGTAGATGCAGAAAATGATGATTAGAAAGATATTTGCACTCCCAGGAAAAGTATTTGAAAAGAATAATTTATTTTCTAGGGCATCTATTGAAACAAATAAATCCTGACATGAATTCCTCTCTGGGATTTTCCTCCTCTTAGGTGTGTTGAAGCATCTGTCAGTATCCATAGTAAGGAGAAGGCAATCCTCAGAGTATGATTAATACAAGTCCTTTGGGTAAAGTCTACATGCAAACAGATAAAAAAAAAAAAAAAAAAAGATGATTGGCGGAATTCTAAATCTATTTTGTCTCAAAACAATTTAGAAAGCAAGAAATGATAAATCCCTGAACAGAGATGCCATCTTTTTTTTTGAAGCCTTCTTATTCCTTTTCAAAAATTGGTTAACTATGTTACCCACAATGCATCTGGATGCTGAAATCTTGGATGGAAATTTGGGTGTATCATGCTAGTAGCACACAATGTCGTCCTTGTGCTTCTAGTCTTAAACCAAGGACCAAGGTTTAAACCAGGAGTGGCCTGAAGAGGTATGATGAGCTTGAGATTATTTTTTTTTTTTTTTTTACATATTTGAATCAGTAGCCTTTGGCCAAGACCAATTATGCCTTAAGTGATACCACTAATATATTAACAAGTTGATCAATGTCTTCAATCAGCTTGAGAAGCTACAAAATGCATTGTACTTTTTTTTTCACGTATACAGTTGTAATCTTTGAAGAATAAAACTCTTTCATCTCGTATAGATTTTTTTTCCGGCCCACTTGGACCAAGCGGCTCATCTTATTGCTTTGCTAATCTTATATTTTATATGAGTAGGTTGTGTTTTCCAACAAAGAAATTTCATCATGTCCTATTTTGACAGCCAAATCATTCATATTTTCTGTGGCAAACGTAAAAAAAAAAAGGCTGTTTCTTCAATGTGCTGTAAATCATCTTGTTTGTTACGTACCCTGTGGCAGAGGTTAAAGGCATTAACAATTACAATATAGAAACAGACGGTGTTGTAGTTCTTGTTTGACATTTTAATTCACAAAATGGCATCAGTATTGATTTCCGTCTCATCACTGGAGCTCTGATAGATTGAGCACTTTGCACCCTTCTTTATTCTAATTCATCCTTGTCTTTCCTGTCTGAACGTTCGGCCAATAACATTAACATCAATGCAACTCAACCGCTGGAAAATACCGTCGGAGATTTAGGTTTGTTGTGCTTGTACGGTCTAGTGTTGCCTCAATGATTCCCTCAAGCAGACTTTGGAGACGTCACTTGAGGAGATTTATGCCCATTTTCAGACAGCTCGCTCTGTGGGAATGTAAACCACAGCGATTGAAGCTGCTATGGAAGGCATGATGGCACGGTAACGAATGTGTTTTCTTGAGAATTATTGGGTGATAGATCTCATTGTATAATCCCAGGTTATACCTTCCATATGTTTGTATCACACGAACGCCCACTCCTTTTTAAAACTAGGACCTTCATTTGTAAACACCTCATGTAGGTGAAAGAAACAGTTTGTTCTCTGTTTGTACTTTTTCACCTGAAGAACCATAAAATAATGCATCCACAGATAGCAGGAAAACCAGAGCAGCTTTGATTTATTTAGGTTCACATACCCCAACTAGATACAGATTTTACTTTACTCACGTTGTTTTGAGTTTAGTTCTTTTTCTGTCTTTTTGCTCAGTTTTTTCTTTTAAGGCACCAACTAACCCTTTCCTTCTTTGTTGCGAACCTTTCTCTTCTCCATCATCTTTATAGATATACCCAGTTTGGGGATGTAATTCACTTTATGTTTGTACTTCTTCTGTTCTGAGATGCATTTGGTTCCCTGCCCCCTCACTGCCTCTGATCATCTCTTCAAAAAGGTCTACATGTTTTACTGTGCAGCTTTGCTACTTAGTATCATACTTTTTTTTCTGAATAAAAATGTGACATGTGGGTTACTTGTTTAACAAACATTTCAAACAGTAGGAGACCTTTGCCGTCTTTCTCTGAAGACAAATGCCTCGCCCAGCGGGGTCTGTGTTCAGTGGCTTTGCTTTGACTGCATATGTTTGAGTCTTGCTGAGTTCTATTATCTGTTTGGATGTTTCAGGCTTTAGGTCTTTCAAACATCTCACTCCTTCAGAATAAGAAAAACACCAGCCCATGATTCATGCCTGTCTCCCTTCTTTACCCAAACATATGCGTCTAACACTCATCAGGTTTATTGGGTAATGGAGGACAGCGCGTGCGTGCGTGTGTGTGTGTGTGATAACAAAAATGATGAGATCATCACATACTCTGTCACACTTTTAGGTTTCCTTCAGAGCTGTTACACCGAAGACTGTAGACTGCAAATGCTTGCCTCTTGAATGTTTTGCCCATCAATAATCTCTGCCTCCCCTGTGATTTGTTTTGCAAATGGAGATGGATCAGCTGGATGGATTCTCTAAATAGTTTTGGCTGTGTGTCAACAGAAATTCTTGTCCAAGTATTCCAGTTATTAGTTTCTCTCCTGCTTAGAAACTCTTGTTTACTTTTCATTTGGGGAATTTTTTGGTTCAGTAATGACCGGATTGGTTATTGGGGTGCCGCAGGAGAGGGAGAGTCCAGAGGGAGACATCTTCTCAGCCCCTAAATCCCTAAAAGGAGAGAAGCAGCTGAAGTTAAGTAAGCCCATGGTGTACTCAACAGGTGATATTAAATCAGTGGTTTTCTTTTAAGAACATTCTTAACCCTATCCCAACCCACTGACCTACAGCGGAATAACCAGGATAGTAGGAGTGGGTTAAATATGAATCAATAAATAAGGTTTTTCAACAGTTTCTTTCTTAGCAGTATAAAACAAGATTAACATGGTTTTATAGGGTTGTTCCCTATAACGAGGTGCCAGTTCATGTCATGAGAACTGCCAAGGTGCCCTTGAGCAAGGCTCAGGAGTGCTCGCTGTGGGCAGCCCCCTCACTCTGACATCTCTCCATTAATGCATGTCCATAGGGTCATGTGTGTGTATTTCAGCCCATGTGTGTGTAAGCATGTCTCAATAACAGTGTGAATAATTTAATTTCCCGTCGTGGGAAATTAATTTTTTTTGGGGCTTTTTGTGTCTTTATTGTAGAGATAGGATAGTGGATAGAGTCGGAAATCAGGGAAATAAATCATTTAAGGATACCTTTCCCATAGAAAAGGACAGCTGTCATTAAAGGTAACACATGAACATCAAGATTCCTTCAAGTGTTTGTGTCTGTGTCTGACAGACACCCCCCCCCCCCCAAAAAAAAAAAAAAAAAAAAAAAGCTGTAAACCTAGGGGAAACACTGCTAGAGTGTTGAAGCTTAATAGGGTTTGTTAAATTTTATTTAAAGTTCTGGGTCAATTTGATTACATTTTCATTAAATATGTTTCTGTTAACGTTTGAATGCAGTGCCAAATAACAAAACACTCCACAACACAACTAGTGGGCTTTTCATTGACCGAGCTCGGTCTCTACTTTTCTACCTTGATACATTAAAAGAATTGAATGTGGGATTGACAGCCTCCTGCTTGTTGCCTTGCCGGCTCTTCGCTGTAGGCTTTCCTCTTCACACAGAGCGAGCAGCTTGCGCACTGATTGAAGCAATTTTCAGCCAGAGGAAAGTATTACAGCCGCCCTGAGATTGTTGCTGCTGCTGGTTTTTTACACCACATGCTGGTCTATCTGAACGGCAGATCACTGATCTGATCACGAGCAAGACTGGTGTCATTTTCTGACAGTGACCAGCACCCTGACATCTTATTGAAGTGTCCCCCAGTATTGTGCTATCAGATTCTAGGTTTGCTGACAATGTTCTTTCTATTGAGCTGCTCCTGTTAGATGCTGACTGACAACCACTTCTGTACAAAAAAGAGAGACCCTGGAACAAAATCCAGGCTCTCTACAGTACGTGGTCACACTGTCAATGAAGGACTTTTGACAACACTCAAACATGTCAGATCTACAGATCAATTCACCTCATTTTCCTGTTCAGATAAGAATGCACATTTCATACCATTGTTACAGTTTCTTTCACTGTGATTTTCATCAAGCCTTTTTTGACTTTAGCTTGGCATTCTAATGCAGTCTGCTTAAGCCTCATTGTGCAGACACCTATTGAAATAGGTAAATCGAATCCTTCTAATCACGCTGAAACAACTCAGTCAATGAAAGATAAATCAAATGAGTTAGAGGAAATTGAATATTATCCATCTGGTTATTCATTTTTAGTTTGTCTATGTGCTTTGTTTTACAGCCGTAGATGACACAGCGGCAGCAGAGTCGGATGAGTTAGTGGTGGACCGCAGCTATGTAAAGAAGAAGCTGGAGCACGGACTGACACGCATCTGGCAGGTCAGAGAAAATAGTGTGCACTCTTTTTTTTCTTGGTTCACGTGCCTTTTCCTCAAGAGTTTTAGCCATTTCAAACATTTTCCCCAAATGTCTGCTTAATCACAAGTTCTCCTCCCACATATCATCCTGTCCCCCTCTCTTCTCTCCTCCAGGATGTCCAGTTGAAAGTGAAGGCCTACATTCTTGGCACAGACATGTCCAACTTCAAATACGATGATTTCATCGTGGTTCTGGATGTCATCAGCAGGTACAGGACCGAGCATGAGCGGGCAGCTCTTCCTTGTTTCTAATAATTGGCCATCATTATTTGTCCCTTTCCTTCTCTTTGCCTTTTGCCTTTTATTTTTTAAGTTGATCTTTTTCACAAGTAGTCACTATTTTATCCCTTTAGTGACTCATGATGTTCATTTGCCCAGCCATTTACTCAATTAATGTTCAGAATTATACAAATACACCAACACAGAGACACACACTCTCTTTTTCCAATGAGACATTTGTCATTCAGACACTGCAACACTAACACATTACATTTTATAAACCTTCTTGCTTTTTGGCCTAAACAAACTTGAAATTGCCAGGGTGCAAACCCCTTCATTTACAGTGCTTAAACTTGTGTCCAATCGTGCACACTCAGCCTTTTGCAATTGTGTGCAGGTTTACAGGAAATCAGATTTTTGGAGGATTTGAAGGGGGGAGAGATTAATAGTGAGGGAATTTTATCAGATATATGGCCAATTTGGGAATAAATTCCTTACCAACCAATTTCTACGCCAATGTGTTTCTAAAGGTCTATAGTTACACATATAAAAAGATTTAACTCCTGTAGGAAGAGCCGTGAGAGCTGCTGAAACTTCGGGTACCTGGAACCCTATTGGTTGAAAATTGGAAATTTTTGATTTTTTTTACATGTGCCTTAAATAGCATATTTGGGGTCAAATTAGGGGTTATTTGGGATGCTGAGTCCATTGCAAGCATTTATTTTGCACCAAACCACTCCTTGGTAGAGAAACGGCCACGCCCACTTTTCCAGCTCTCTTGAAAACCCTTTCTTTAGGTGAAAATCAATGTAGCTTGTTGCATGTGAATTATAAAGCATCTTCATAGGTCTATTTATAAATGTATTAGTGATGGTAACTACCTTTTATTAACTGTTAAATGTTGCAGTTGGTTAACATTTGTAGCAAGAGAGTGAGTTTTGAGTGGCAGGTGCCAGACGTGCTCAAGCCGTCCTGTGGATCATGGACAGACACAATAGAGTCCACACATATCAAATAATATTCACAGGTCAAAGAGATATTGCAAGATGATTTTAACTCTCATATGTACATATTACTTACATTATTTACAACTGTACATTGAATGTCACTACATTGATTAATACTATTATAAGGAGTGTACTGTCATCAAACTAGCTTATAGCTAGCAAACACTAGGTAGTCTAGTTAGTTAGCTAACATCCACACACCCCAAGTACATCTGATTACTATTTTACTTACTTGAATGATAGCTGACTGCCTCATGCTAACATTAGCTAGCTATCGCTGGGGTTTGTTTTGGTTTCTCAAGATCTTTTTGCAGTAACTGTACATCTGACCCCCTATTTGAAGATATCGGTCCACATGACAAAGGATGTCTTGCATGTCACAAGAATGATTACAGAATTTTTTTTAAATTAAGATTCTAAGAGACAGATGGTCATTACTCCAAGACAAAAGATGTAGGAAGGAAAACTGATGAGGAGCGAGACGCTGTGTTTTATGAGCTCTGTGAATGGTTAGACCTGGAACTCGAGCATGGGGTTATGACACTTGACCAAGTCCACATAAAAATGCAGCAGTTTGATCAGTCACTGGATAAGAGTCTCTCATATTCAAAGAAGTGGCTGAAGCAGAAGCTCCTAGAGAAATACCAGGATACACTGTGTGTTTAAAATCACAGAAGAGGAGAGCAGATGTTAACTGTTTCAAAGATAAGACCAGCAACATCCTTCAAGAGCAACATGCTAACATTAAGTTTGGAAATGAGAAGACTCAAATTTTAAAGACTAAAGTTAACACATCTTTTCTACTGAACCTGAGATTATCTGTATTTTCATGATCATATACTAATCTGTACATAGTGTTTTTTGATCCTTTTGTTGAAAATGTAGGTCCTCTGTGAAACGTCTTGAAACATATATCTGGTCTTTTAGAATAAAATAAATCAGCTGTCTGCCATGTCAGCTTCTAAAATAGGTCAAAGTGCCTTCTTAACATGCAGAACTGTGTGGTCCTGTTTCTTCAGTACCACTGCTGACATTACATTGCCTGTGTGTGGCCTGCCAAGTCAGAGGTATCAAACCAAGTCTGTTTACACGGTGTCTCTGTGCCCCTGCTGGCTCAGCTGTCAGTCAAACACACACAGCTGTGCTCCCAGAGGCGTTGACTCTAATAGGCTTTAAAAACTAATCTATTTCAATTATCTCCAACATTCTTTATTTTTTTCAATGTAAAAAAAAAAATGTGATAAGTTTAGAAAATGACCTACTGCAACTGCAACAACACACACACACACACACACACACACACACACACACACACACACACACACACACACACACACACACACACACACACACACACACACACACACATTCCCACTTGTGATGACTGACAATATAATAATTTCATGATGACTGAAATTATATAATAAATATTCCAACAACAATTACAATTTTCAAAACTTTTTCAATCAAAGTTTAAAAAAAAAAAAATAAGAAGAAAATAAAACTGACAACCAGAATTTCCTCTTGCTTCTCTCTTCATCATAAGTTGTTCCTCGTCCTTTAGTCCTTTAATCGTCTCTTCCAGGCTGATGCAGGTGGGTGAGGAGTTTTGTGGCAGCAAGTCAGAGGTCCTGCAGGAATCCATCAAACGGCAGAGTGTCAACTACTTCAAAAACTACCACAGGTAAGAGACGTCTTTTGCCTCTGGATCATTGCCTTGATTATGTGAGCTTCTGACATAGTATCTTGTTCATTCCCTGAGCTGACGTTATTTATTATGTGTGAACAATTATACAGAGAGTGCATGGATCTGACTTGTGCTTCTGTCCCCTGACATTATTGGAGGAGAGTTGTTATCATTGCTTGATTGCTTGAAAACGATTTCACACAATCACAACCATCGGCTGCCTTGATTTGCTCCACCAAGCACTCACATACCTGCAACCTAACTCTCTTTGGAGTAGCCATGTAATTAACCTGTAACACACATCATGAATACATAACTTCGTTGCCATGCACATGAGTATGTAAGCTTTGGGATTACCTGTCAGGAATCATCGATAAGATTCTTCAATATAGGAACTCTATTAAGCTTCATTCCTGTGACCAGAAACAGGAAAGGAGGGGGTTACAGAGGCATGATGGGGTGCATTAGAGGTGATGACATGGGGGTGTGAAATTGTAATCAGAAACAAAAGAGTGAGAGCTTACACACCCAAAGAGAGAGAGAGAGAGAGAGAGGGGGGGCACATTATCCTTCCAAGCACTCACGTATATCCGCACTGTTAGCCCGGAGGCTTCCTCTGTGCATCATCTTTACATTAGCTTTGATTTATTTTCCACCCGGGTGTCATCTCTAAAGAGATTACCCATCAGAGAACTTTGACTGGATGATGCTCATAGGCGTGTGTGTCAACTGCCTGAAGTCACACACTCACTCATCAGGGGGGTGCGTTGGTATTGTTGGTCTGCGGGGTCCAAAGGACAGAACGACTCCTGCAGGGGTTCAAACACGATAAATATCTGCAACAAGGGTGCTTTCATTTTCAATAACGTATTCTTTCTGAGTGATTGAAGTTTCAGAGTTTTAATATACTTTAAATTCACATTCAATTTGAGAAAAATAAATGTGGGGAAATTGTGCAAAATAGAGTGGTTGATACATTTCCTTAGGCATGCAATATTTGAGGCCAGGAAGTAGAAATGTAACAAATATCCTGTCCTTTTTTTTGTAACACTAGGCTTCCCTGTTTTATGCCACTGTTTCATGTACTCTTACGTCTACATCTAAAAACCTTCAGACCAGCAACAAGGGGGGCTGCAGTGTTTGAAGTTGACACTGCTCGGCCATTTCACACTCACAGCCTTGATACTGACCCCGTGCCGTGTGTGAGCACCAGGGGGCCTGTCTTGAGCTGTGAACATGTCACACACACAGAAATAACACACACACACCTCTTCCTTTCTCACTGACCTTTGCAGGCGTTCCTTTATGTCTGCACATATAATCTAGACTCTCAGAACAAAGGAGCTGATTGAATATAGGAAATGGCATAAGGTCAGTAGTAGCCAGATGTCGACTTTTTCTTCTTCAACTAAATCACCTTTCCTTTGTCTCTCTCCTCAAACTCCCACAGGACGCGGCTGGAAGAGCTGAGGATGTTTCTGGAAAATGAGACGTGGGAACTGTGCCCGGTCAAGTCTAACTTTAACATCGCCCAGCTCCATGTGAGTATGAATCACATCAGAGAGGCGGGGGAAGGGACGCACAGTAGCATCCATTTACTGTATTAAACACCCTCTCACATTGCGGTCATGTCCAGAACATTGAATACTAAGATTTATAAGATATTTTTGGTGACCAGCGTTCTGCTAGCCAGCCACTAGCCAGCGGCAGGGACATAAAACACAGCTATACGTTTGTGTTTTGCTTCTAAGAGTGTACTCGACGACTGATTCCTTTAGAAAACAGAGGTCATCTTAAACCAAGGATCTGGTCTGCTTGTGTGTGTGTGTGTGTGTCACCACTTTCTTTGGCTGTCTTTCTGCTACCAGAAACTCATGGGACGTAATTGTGAAGTCTACTCCAAGTCAGTCTATTGGAATTTCCTCATAATCACTTTTTGTATGGCTTAGGACATTCATACTAAAGCCTGGTTGACATGAAAGAAAGAATAAAGCTTGCTACAGTTAAAGGTTGTTTTGCATCCAGGTATTACTTTTTCTTATTTACTCTTTTAAGGTCCCTCAAACATTTGAAGCTGGTTATGAAATCTTAATATTGAAGCACACTGAAGAATAAGCCTTTCATTTGACTAATTCCACTGACAAGATTCTTGCTAACACATATATGCTCTCACCAACCTGACAGCACCCACACAAAACCATCATGGGTATAATGACTTATAGTGAAAACATTGAATGAATTGACAACCAGAATCCGTATGATATTAAAGGGGCAAGAAGACATTACCATTAGAAGCAGCAGCATGATTTTGTGAGAAAAGGTAGTAGTGATTTCTTAAAAAGCTACAGTGAAACTTTTCATCACTTGACTACCCAGATTGCATTTGCAATTATTTCATTTCCTAAGCATGAAGCAATTCCACTTAAATTATTATGCAGGAAGATTTGATACACCTTCTCATCTGCAGCCTAAGAAGAGCCCATTGTTGAAGGTCAATGACTTGAAAGGGAACAGAGATGATACACAAACATGCCCAGGGTTATGCATGCTGACATACAATGATTATTTCTGTTTTTCTGTACCTTATATGCTTACTTTACCATCAAAAATCTCTTTTGTTTATTCAGTACTTATCCTTTACACTTCTCTCATTCAGGAGTTTAAGTTCATGGGCCAGTGTCGCTCTCCGTCCGTGTCCCCGAGCAGACAGGCCGTATCCTCCACCGGCCTGGCTCAGGAGGAGCTGTCTCTTTTCCAGCAGTACCTGCAGGAGGGAAACCCCTTTGAGATGCACACTGAGCACAAAGAGGAGGAGACGGAGGATGTGCTGGCATCTAACGGGGTAAGGGCACCACTTAGACACACCAACTCCCTAAAGGGTGATAACTAACAAGGCTGCCTGTTGAAATATATCAACAAACAAATGAACAAGGGAACGAGCTGATTAGTAGGGAGATTATCACTGCGGATCATATGAGGGTTTCAGCATCCCTCAAGCGGCAGCATCTGCAATAACAAACTTTCATGAACCATGTACAGCCAACAGTGCGGAAGCTGCCATAATTGTTGTAACACTTTGATGCATTGTCTGACATCTAGTATAAGATGTTAAAATGGAAGTGAATTAGTGGGTAGATCCAGGGAAAAAAATCAAGACCATTGCAGTTGAGTATCAGTTTGCTTTGTGCAACTGCATCATCAAACCAGAACACCAGCCTAGCTTTATTTAAAGAGGGAGTGTGAGCCTTTTGTCTTAAAAACAAGTGCTTTAACTTGTCTAAGAAACTCAAACAAAAAGAGTATTGATCTTCCCTTATTTTGAATAAAAGCAAAACATCTGCCATAATTATGTGTTTGAAAAAGAACAAATTGATAAACATCTTCCAGTCTTTCCGTTTGTGCATGGGCAAGGTAATGTTAGCAGCTACGCTTGTTTGAAATCAAAGCTTTCTTGTTCCATCAGTAGAGCTTTAAAAACCTTGTCATCACACACAACAGTATGGCCTCTCTGATACTAACAGATCCTCATTGCGGGAGCAGAAATTGCTCCCTCCGTCTAAGGTCGAGGTGAGAGGAACTGCTGCTGTATGGCAGGGTCACTGCTGGACAAGTTAGGTGCTTGTCAAGAAGTTCTGCAAGCACCAACAGCCCCAGTCTCAGCCTGGTTTATTGCATTTCACATCAATAGACTCACAAAGAGCCACTTAGTAACAAAAGTGTAATACAAAAAAAGAAACTTCTCTGCATCTATACTTGCAAGTCTCAAACGTCCCGTCTTAGCTGTTATAACAAACAGAGGAGAAGCGACAACATAAGATGGAAACAACCTGATCTCCTTCTAGGCTTCTGTGTGGTTCAACCATATATAAAGTATATCGCATTGAAACAGTGATCTAGAGAATATTGCCAAGGCAGGCGGATGAATAAATTAAAGTCCGAAATAATTATTTGTTTCCTCCAGGCTTCTCTCTAATAAATAAGCATTTCTCTTCACTAGTAGAAAGTAGAGCTTACAGAGACACCCTGACACATCACCTGCCTTTCATCTATTGATATATTTTCCTTTTGGGCTCAACATGAAATGCAATATTGCACTGTCTAACATATTAGACTTAAAGAAGCCCCAGCCTTGCTGGTTCTTAAGCCTGTAATCCTTTCTATATGCCTGCTGTGTTGCATGAGTTTGCTGTTAAGACCAAATACAATATTGTCTTTTTTTCAGGGGAGATTTAACTGAACTCTCCCGCTAGTAGAATTCTGTGTCAAGCAAGTCTTTTCATGGTTATGAGCCCTTTAACACTTTTTCAAAAAAATACTCAATCACAGCCGTTTGAAAAAAAGTGAAATCTGATGGACAGGGAAGTCACAATCTCTTTATTCTAGATGTTTCACAGCATGCAGAAACACGGTTTCCACCTGTTTTCTTCCCCCTCCTCACTTACGTCATCTGCATTTTATCTTTTCTTTCCACTGGCTCTTTGACCATTATCTCCCGTAACCTCCATCTTTCTCTCGCACATTTCTAAAGTACGAGTCAGACGAGCTGGAGAAGAGCGTGTATCAAGATTATGACAGCGACAGCGACGTCCCCGAGGAGCTCAAGCAGGACTACGTCGATGAGCAGACAGGAGACGCACCTCTCAAGAGGTCAGTTCCATGTCAAACTGTTCAGCCCCGCTCTACCCTGCAGCTCAGGTTATGGCATGTGAAGCCACTGTGTATATCCAGCTGTCCATCATTTCTCCTCCCGGGTCATTAAAATGTATGAAAGGAAGTGGGCATGAAAAGACGCAAAAATAAGTCACTCATGTTATTCACAGATGCAAAACAAAGAGATATGTCCTTGAAAATCTTCATAGGAGGTTCTAAAAGGATGTGAAGTCATGCATTACACCACTTTGTATGCATTTAGCTATGATAATTGTATTCCTTTTCAGCCTATCCTTGATAGGCAGGAAACTTATTTAAAGCTTTTTTTTTTTCTTACAATGAAAAATTCTCTTTCTCCCACCTTAATGCTTAATAGAGGCGGAGGCAATCAAGTGATTTTTGCTGCTCATTTCCATTCAGAGGAGAAATTTGAATGCATTTGTGTATTTTTTCTCTATAACGAATGCAAACATTAACTATCTTAGTATGTTTTAGCTGTAGATATATAGTATAGGATTCTCTCACAAGATGTAGAATGCTTTAATGCAGCACAGAGTTTTTTCATTTTTATAGCCCTTTATGTTTAATTTATTGTGTTTTTTGTGTGTTGTTTTGCATATCCAAAAGCTGATATCAAATGTTTCTGAATTAGTACAGGGAACAAAACATTCCATATCAGTGTGTCCCCTACCATTATATTAGGGGGGCGCAGACTGTCTTATATACCAGTGCGACTTATATTCCGGATTTTACGGTAGGTCCTCAATACAGAAGCTTTGTTCCAAACAATCATCTCCTATCATGTATAATGACTTATTAGTGGTATCAGGGTGTTTGTGTTCAGTGATAAGATTCACAGGTCTGACAAGTGTATGAACCCTACATTAGCCCATAGTTGCTATAATGCTAATTTCCCATTCTAACAAGCATGGATCACTAATGGTTAATTATTGAACGGCCTTCATGGTCACAACCAGAAATAAGGAGGTTCATGTAATAATTAATGGCTAATATATCTGGATGATGAGAGTCAGGGGTCCAGTGCTGCAGGTTCAACCGTTCAAAGACATCATGGCCGGGGTCCTACTGTGTCACCTGCTCTGTGTAGAGGGACCTAATTGATCAATTACAGGACTCTGAAGCGCGTGGAGGTTTTGAACCTGGCTAAATCATTACTGAGGATTAGTGATGTTGCCATTTATTAGCCAGTCTCTCTTTTTCTCATGACTCTGCCCTACTTTCTCTCTCACGTACGCACCAGTGTCTCCCGCGAGACCATCAGAAGCAAGAAGAAGTCCGACTACAACCTGAATAAAACCAACGCACCCATCCTCACCAACACCACCCTCAACGTCATCCGGCTTGTCGGTGAGTCACACACGCACACGCACACGCACACACACACACACACACCCCTCCACTACTAACCTCTACTTCAGAGCGAATACGTCTCAGCCACGGTAGGCGTTCTCTCTAACCTGCTGAGATTCCTTTTAATCCACCAGTGAAGCCGGTAGCTCAGGTCTCCATCACTCCCTTTGTGACTACGCAGCACTAGTAACAGTTAGCCTTCACCCTGAGCTCTGACCTTTTGTTTCCAGGAAGGTGCTTTCATGTCTTTGTGACGTGGCTTTGAAGACGTCGGGGCCCTTCCTTTGGCAGAGTGTGCCCTTTGGCAAAGTGACCCTTATGATGTGATATTCATGTGTGAAAAGGAATTAGATAAGCCATTTATCTCTTTGCTTGGTCGTATGACCTTCTCTTATTTAATTCAATGTAATAACTCATGATGGTGATACAGCTCTGCTACTTTTCTTTACCATTGCACACACACAATAACTTTTAACACGTTTTTTTCCTTTAATCGTTCTTTCTCTTTTTTTCTATCATACGTCTAAAATGGACATACAGTAAAAAAAAACAAATTGCTATTATTGTTTTTCTTTTGTCTTTTTTTTTCCACACTATTGGTCTTATTGATTCAGAGTCGTGTGGCAAAACTTGAACCGAGTGAGAACCCCGAAGTTTGATCCCAAGCAATCACTTCTAATTCACTCTCTGCAGCACGTTGATGGAGTTAGATTGCTCCCTCAGTTCAGGAGAGTTCCCTTAGCGAGAAAGGGCATGAAAAATGAGAGTGTTAGAGAAATAGTGCTGTCTCAGTGGCAAAGCCAGCTTGATTGAGTTTATTTCTTCCGTTTTCCCACCCTCCATTCATCAGTTCTAAGTCAGTTGTAACCTTGTTACACCCCTGTACCTCTGTACCCATTGCTGTTATTACCTTCCTGCTAAATTAAATCCTCGCTTCTAAATGTATTCAAATGTGCTCCTGCTGAAGTTTTTCCCTGAAGAGTTTGGTTCCACAAACGTTCACTTCCTGTGGTTAAAACCTTTAAACTCCTTAAAGACGGACTGAAGAATGCATGAAATGTCACGTTTTGGAGACATAAACCTTTTCAATGCTTCGTCCTGTTTTATTTCTGCACAGGGAAGTACATGCAGATGATGAACATCCTGAAGCCGATCGCCTTCGATGTCATCCACTGTGTGTCCCAGCTGTTCGATTACTATCTGTACGCCGTCTACACCTTCTTTGGACGCAATGACATGGTACAGTATTTTTTTAATCACATACCAACCTCAATAATAAACTGTATATTCATCTTTAAGAGTAATTTTTTTATGGAAAACACAACCCTAATGTAGCTCCTCTGCCCTATTGAACAAGGTCCTTTGAATCAGTGACATCACTCATCAGCTGTATTGTAGCGAAGAACTGTTGTGCTTTAGGCCACCATTCACCTCTAACACATGTTATTTCTTAGAGACAAAGCAAGATCTTATGACTGTATCTTTATAAGTGTTTCTGTTCTGACTGCTCTTATGTAAATGTTCGTTTTGAAATGTGGGACTGCAGCACTGTAAAGTACAGAATTCAAAACCAACAGTTTAACAGAAACAAAGGTAACCAAAGGTGTCATTAAAAAGGTCGAGCTGTTTAACTGTTGTAACCAATTGTGCTCAAACATCAACTTTTCTTGAGTGTTGGCACACCTTAATGCTGGAAAAAAGAGGACTATAGTGCTGCTCAGGTGTCTACGAGTGTCAAGAGCATAGACTTTATAAGCAAAGGACGTAGACCCCCCAGTGATTGAACCCATTAGTTCCTCGACCGCTAAAATGAAGCCTCAGTGAAGAATATGGCCATCACCAAGTTGGTTTTCTAGAGCTAGGAGTGACCAAATATTAAGAACAGGGTGGTGCCAGAGTCAACACACTAACCTAAATTTCTTATTTGTTTAATAAGTTCATTCGGCCTCACGTTTCCCACAGAATGAGATTCTGTTTGTGGTGAAAACTGACCAGAGTTGAGTATTTATCAGACCAAAGAAACTCAGGCAGCTTATTTAGTGGCGGGTGACCCTCATCACTATTGTCCACATTAATCTTCCCAGGGAAAAGTCAACAACAATACTGTCCTATGACCTATGCAGTGGCCAACATATGAATACATTTATAATAATAACTGAACGAGCTCAGAAGCCAGGTATAGCATAGTTTACCTGCTACTTAGTGATAAAAGATCAATTACGATAATTCTAGAATTTCACTCACCAGAAATGCTTGAGCCCAAAGTTCTTGGTCAGCCAGTCAATGCCATAAATCCCAACGACAGACAGATATTTTTCTTAAGATCCCACAAACACGGCTGAGAGTTAATGTCCAGTGATCATGCATTGATGTTTAGCAAGAAGACAGCAGCTACCAGACCCTGTTACTTAAAGGCTTAATTTAATCAAAAACTCACCCTTTGTACTGTTGTCATGCAGAGAGAAGTTAGCTATAGAGACCAAAATTGTGTTGTTCTTGTTTTTTCCCAGGCCGTTACATGTTTATTTCAGAAATAAAACTGGCTACTTAACATGGGCTCTGATGGGGATTCCTTTAGAGCCAGATTCATTTTTAACACTGGAGGGTTCCGCTTGGTCAATGATGCAAATAATGAACCACAACATCCTCTATATCTAATCTGGAATTCCTCCCCATCTCTATCTTCTGTCATTTTCTGTCATCTTCCAACGTTTTTAAAGAACCGAGTAAAATAATTCACAGAATTACAAACAAAAAAAAAGGCACAGATATTACATCATTCATCCCTGATGTGTGGCTTCATTTACATTGCTTTTAAATACAAAGAAGAAAGCTTCACCCAGCAAGTAATCTGAATATTTTTCTACTTCAAAGCCTGCGGTTACGTAATGAACTGGTGCTATATCTGTGGAATGCTGCTTCAAGAATAGCCTTTGTTTATTTAAAAATGTGGATTTATGATTTTTTTCTTTGTTTATTAGATGATTTACAGTGAGACGTGGGAAATACTGCTGCTTCCATCCTTTCTCATGGCTGTCTGTCTCAGTTAAAATGTCACTTTAACGATAGTTTACAAGCCCGGTCTAACACTCCATCTCAAGGCGATCATATCATTTATACTGCATCTCACAAAGAAAGGAAACATCATTTGTGTCAGCGGCACCCTTGGGGGAAATGGTAATGATAGCAACAAAATGACTTCTGTCCCTTCACAGTGGAAGAGATAAAGAGGATGAGCGCTCTCGGTGGGAGCTGATGCCATACACATTATTGGCACATTTGTTGGTGTGTGTGCGTGTGTGAGTGTGTGTCTGTCTCATGGGGAGATTCGTGAAGTAGGCATACTGGTTGTGAGTTGACAATTGTGAAGCAGTTGCTTTTCACATGTGTCTCTATCTGACCGCTGTGGGTACAAACTGTATGTGAGTGTTTCTGTCACATTTCCTCTGTAGATCTTTCTACCTCTGTTCCTTCTTTAAACATATACTGTATATGCCATGTTCTTTTTTGAAGTACTGTGTCATTATAGCTCTCTTCACAACAACAGACGCAGGGTGGTTCTTTGAAACGGGCGTTTATTGCTGGAGCAATCTTGTGAAGCATCTTCGTCTTTGTATCACATGCCAATCATGCCGACCACGCCGTGAGAACTGTATTGGCAAATATATCAAGAAATATTTAAAGATAAAATCTTATACAAATTACAGAATAATTATCTGCTCAAACAAAAGTACATTTGACATAAAACAAATACCTCGTTGCACCGCTTGTCATGAAAAGAGGTTCTTGACTCATTTAAAGTCCTTGTTAAGTGTCTTTCACAGTCTGCTTGAACTTCAGTCATCAGTGGTAACAGTCTTCATGCATGTTTACACTTATTTTTACAGTCTATGGTTTACACAAATTCACGGGAGGTAAGGTGCACTCACCGTACATGTCCGTCCCTTAATTCCGTCGTAGCCGAACCAAAACAAGGAACTTTAGTTCCACATAGAAACATAAAGATTTTAACAGTGGTTTTAACCTTTCAGCTTAACATACATGAATAATTATTTATTTATTTATTGAATACATGAAATTATGACAATATGAAATCATTTATGACTCATGAACTTAAAGTTTTATCTAACAGCACTTACAGTCATTAATCTTACATGTTCTGCTTCTCTCACTCAGCCATGCTTGTCTTTCATCCCCCCTGCTTTCTTTCCTCCCATTACTCCCCTGCCACTCTTTATCTGTCTGTATGCATCTCTCTTAAACTCTCACTTTTCCTTCTTTTTGCACTGTACCTCTAGTCCTCATTAAGTGTAATTTCATGAACCCACCCACTTCCTGAATAGTTTCTCTCAAAGAGCCACCTACAGTCAAATGCTAATGTGGCCATGAATTTTTAAACAGCTTATGGAGATTTCTGTGCACATATGCTGGCATGTTTGACCTGGACTCTGCTCTTTTTACACTGTCGGAATCAAGATGGAGCTACTTGACTTCTTTGCTTGAAGAGTAATGGTTGACATTAATATTCAAAAGGGTAAATAGCCCCATTATCTGTGTATATTGGTCCTGTCAACTCCAGCTGCACTACTGACTCTGAAATACACATGCTCAAGATGCATTATGTGCCGGGCTCAGAGATTCTCCATCGTCATTATAACTGGGATTTCTTCTGCTGGGGGCCAAGAGAGGCAGATTAACTAACATTATTTGAAAAGCTGATTAATGTTTTAAAGTCATGGAAGGCTTAATTTAGTAGGAAAGTTGAACAGAAATACGTGAACTGAAGATTGTGGGGGAATGAAGACGGATCACTCTTCTGTGTCACTCTGTTCTACAATATGATGGCAGAAAGACGCGAGGAGAGAGACGAGCTACCAAAACAATGAAGTCGAAAGTTGTGTTGAGACAGTGCAGAGCAGAAAAGTATGTCACACTTGGAAGAGATGACTTTTCTGAACACCTCTTTTTTTTATTCTCGAGTCATAACTCCGTAAGACACATCTTCACAGAGGTTATCCATTTTTCATGCTCATGTGCAAGTCAAGGCTTACCCAATCGGAGTCAGTTGTGATGTAGAATAAATCAAGAGTTCCCAAACTCACATTTATAAATTATCATTACATTTCCAATAATGGTGTGTGAGGCTGATTAAAGACAGACGTCTGAACACTTATTCTTCACTGGTAGTTTGGTTAATTCATATTTGGGGTTAAAACGTTCACCTCAGTGTGAGGCTTTTTAACTCTAAAAGAATGAGGGCGACAATTCGAGCTCATTTTGAACTGTGTTTGCCTTAGTTGAAAGTTCCTAGGAGTTTTTTTAGCTGCTCATGAAACTGTCTGAAATTATTACTGATGCCTCTACATGGTCTAAGAAACTAAAAGGAACCATTAGCATAGAGACCAACTATTGAATGTTTGAATGTTATTATTAAAGCCTGAAACTGCTGCTGCAAGGTACTGTAGGTGTCAGACAAGGTTCATTTAACCGCACACTGCAGAAACACCCTTTGTTTTCATATTCCATAGCCAAGATTCACAATGAGTGGTCCAATTTGATTTTTAAAATAAAGGAAGTGTTTTTAAGATAACAATGATTATAAGTTGAGAACAGGATTATTAAAAAAGTACTGTGTACTGCTTTGTCCACAGTGGACGCCCAAATCAACACAAAATCAAAGTTCCTCAAAGTACAGCAGCTTTAAGAACTCAAGAAAGACATACATGTATTAGCAAATGATTTGAAACATCAGATGTCAACAAATACTGATACATTTACTCTTTATTATGTGTCACAATGCTATAAAGAGCTGGAGTCTGCATTTCTCACAAGCCCACAACATAGCATCTTCAAAACACACAGACGCGCACACACATAAACAAGTTTGAGTCTTTGACCAATGTCACAAAAACTAAATGGCGTTATCAGGGTTGTTTTTACATATTAGAAATGTTTTTTAAAAGTTGTGAGGTTTTTGTTGCTAGAATCACGTTTGGAAATGTGACCTCTTGGTCCAAAATTGTATAATTTGTTTTATTAATTAGTGATTTTGACTCATCCACTCTGCGTACATGTTTCATAAGATCTCATAAGCTGCAGTTTGTTACTTACTGAAGTAAAATTTCCCATTGATAAAATGTTAATTTTGCATCATTTGATTTAGACCAGAGGGGCCTCAATTCAGGCTTTTCAAGACATAACACATCTATCAAGATATTAAAAATGTCAACTTAGAAGCTTTTAAACTTGTGAAAAGCTGATTATTGAGAAGCCTGGAACTCAGCTTTTTGAGTTTCTCAAGAACAGCCAATAAGAGAAGGTGTCACATCAGTGTCACATCAGTGTCACCTTCTCAAAGAAACCAGGCTGTTTTCTTGTGCATTTTTGGGTAATCAATAAATGTCTTCCATTTTTCTGATTCTGTTTGTTGGATTTTTTCTTTCTCCCACATTCAACTCTCTAATACTTCTTCCTTTTAATTTTAAGAATTTGCTTTTTTGTTTGTCTCCTCTGCTGTCCATTCATCATCCATAGCCTGTCCCAAGCCCATCTTTGCCGTCTCATGGTGGCAGAGAGGTGGGTGCTGTCAGGGTGGTGGGCCCTACCTGCTTGGTAAGAGTAGATCTGCACAGGGTTGTTCCCCCCCCCCCCGTCCCCTGCCTTGTGAGTGGTGGTGTTGATTTAAAGTCCTGCAAATTGTGCATGAATGGCTTTCTCAAGTGACATCAAGTGCACCTGAAAGTAATTTCAGAAGCATTTAGATGTTGAATTTGCTGTGATATCAACCCCCCTGACCTTCCTTATTTTCCCCTCTAGTCTACCTAGTCTATTTACCACCATAGCAGTAGTGATTATCTGTTTCTTTTTTTTTTTTTTAACGCCTTTTCCTCTCAGTTCCTCATTCTCTTTTGGCAAAAGAGCCTTACCAAAATTAGAGTGTAAAGATTCTCCCACTGCGTGAGATGGGAGCAGATGTTGTATGTGGGTATGTGCTTTCACACTGCCGTATGTGTTTCTGCAGACTCTAACTGTGCGTGCATATGTGTGTGTGTTTATCTTCAGTATGAGTCATCGGGCCTGGGCCTTATCAGCAGCCGACTGAGAACCACACTGAACCGGATCCAGGAGAGTCTCATCGACATGGTAGGACTGCAACTTTCATTTTCTACTCACTCTTTTAATTTCTCTTTTTCTATCATCCAATGTCATCTCCCTGCCTGTCTCTTTTTCTGACGCCCAACATGCTCCCTCCATCCCCTTCATCCTCATGTACCGCTCTCCTTTTTTAAGCCCCTGTCTGTATTATTTTTTTTCTATCCACTGTGGCAGTATGTCTGGTCCTACTGTTGAAAGTGTGCATGGCCTTCACTGCCACAAATGCATTATGGGTTGCCATTATCTGGCCAGTGGTCGCTGACACATACACACACCTCCCCCATGTTTCCAGGCTAGATGTGTTATTCCATTAGAGCTCTCAATCACTGCTCCCTGCTGTTACATTGTGACAATTAGCCTGATGTGGTCCACACAGTGTATTCCCCAACAGGTCCTCTCCTCTGTTATATGATGATATGTGTGTTCTCTCACTTTTCTTCTTTTTCTTCTTTCATTTTCTAACAAACATACAGTCTTTCATGGCATGTCTTCAGAGCAGCTTTACTTGAACTTTAATCCAACTCTAATCTGCTATGCTGCTGAAGTAATTCCCCCTGGAGGAAAATAAAATTTTATTCTTGTTTCCGTTTTTTTTCTTTTGTTTTCTAACAAGGATAAAACAATGATCTGTGCCCCCTGGGTCTGATTACAATAGATGTTTTAGTGAATGTCCAACTGAACTCATATTTAATTCATGTTGCCTTTTTATTTAAATGTGAATTTTTCGATTACAGTTTTAGAAATGTGTAAGTGGAATCAGTTATTTACATATTACATGCTATTGTTATTCAGCAGCAAAACACCTCTCACACCAGACAACATTAATGCTGCTTTCATTTCAAAGTTTAACGCTCAGAGCTGTATTGGAAAACAAAGAGGCCAATAATGCATATGCGCTGTTGAATTAGATTTTGACCATGCGTCACAATTGGAAATGAAAAACAGAATCTCTTTTCCCATGGTGATATCCTGATTTTTCTTTTCATTTTCTGGAAGTCTTTGGGGCTTTCTGTCTGTCTCACTAAAATATATTTTATAAGTTCATCTTTATGCCTGCAGGATAATCTGTTAAATGTGCCAGTTAGTGTCTTTTCATTTACAGATGCATTTTTGCACCTTTTAAGACCCTGACATGACCTCTTTTTAGACAGTGTTAAGGTGTCAATTGTTGCTGTCAGTTCAGATAACTATCAAATAGGATGCTGTCATGGCAGCCATCAAGACCTGTCTCTTTGTTAATGTATATCCCATCAGTATGGGAAGTAAGGTGAAAGGAGTGAATTGTTTTCCTACCAGCATCCCCTTTTTATTCAGATACAATCAGCCGCTTTCCATCGTCAGGACCATACAGCATTTAAATGACCTTTTTAAAACAAAGCATTTATTTGACAGTTCGGCGTAATGACATTTTGATGTGTTGGCAATGCAGGCCACTTGGCTGTGATGTTCAGGGCTATGGCTGAGGGAAAGGAATACACTAAGGAAATAAAGCAGGAAGTCAGGCGAAAGAAAAAAAATAAAACTCAAAGCTTTCAATTATTTTTAGAGGTGTGATACAGCAAGCATGTTTTTCTTCTCTCAAGGGGCACTATGGCAAATTATTCGCACCCAGTAATCTTCTGGTTAATTTGTTAGATATTTTCAAAAGCCCGACGAGCTCAGCTGTTCTGGACAAATGGACGGACTTGATGGAAGTGGAAAATGACAACAAAAGAGTATCAAGAGACATAAAACTTTAACACATGCACACTTACACATTGGCAGATTACATTACAGATGACAGCAATCGTATCACTATATGTGGCCATCACAGTCCATGTCCTCAGAGGGAGGACGCTGCAGGCTGTAACTACACAAATAGATCTGCAAATGCTTTGAGTCCGTCCTTTCTCATATGCAGAATAAATAAAGTGATAGTGATAAATCATTCAGTGTTGGGAAAATGTCCTATTCTCTGAGCTAACACTATCTTGTTCTCTCGCTTTTCTTCTGTGTCAGATCATGACCTGATCACATACATCTCAAACAGACACACTTTTCCATTATACATATTGAAAACATAAAGATGAAGTTTCCAGAGCTTGTGTACATTTGACTCTTTACCTTATATATTCAGTTTGAATATAGACTGATTCCTTTGTTTCAGATAGGTGACTAGAATGTATTCAAAGAGAGTACACAAATGCACTCCACAACCTACATGCCAATACACAGCCTAACACTCCAGAGATTGACGTGGGGTAGACCTCATTTGTAAACAGATTATAAAGTTAATTGCACGCTGCATTTCAATTGAGCTGCGAATCCTTGCGGTTTTGTTCACCTGACTTATCGTTGCAACTGTTTGATTCCAAAACCGATGTGCCTGTAATGACTCCGAGTCCCATATGAACAGTGGTAAAATTCCATCTCATTTTGTCTCCGCTACCAAATGGCTTAGAGTTAAATTGGGAGCCCCATGGGGAAAAAGTAAAAGATCATCCCCTCATTTATGTTCCATTTCTCTGCCTCCCTTATTCTTGATTACCTCTCTGAAACCCCACAGCCGGTCTGGGTATGACAGTTTCATTTGGAGTTGACTCACTTTTGACTTTGAATATTTAATCGAGAGTTGTTTGGAAGGTTTTAAGGTTAGGGAGAAACTTCTGAGGGTGACAGCGATGGAATTGCCTTCTCCATTTTTTTAAAAAAAAACCTCCTGTTACATAATGTTCAATCAGACATGCCATGTCAGAATGGTACCATGAACAACATCTGCGGCCATGTTGTCGCTGCCAGAAAGTTCAGCTGTGACAGCTGTTGAGCCTCAGGCATCATTGTGAAGGGAGCTGCCACTAGCTCTCAATGCTTAAACCACCACTATTTACCCTTTCAGTCACTCAGTCCATTTTTAAACCACCATCTCTCACATTTCTTCCTTTTCCTTATTCCATCTGATCTGTTTGTCCTGTCAACTCCTTCCCTTTACCACATTTGGAAAGGTTTGTATCTGCATTACTAACACTTTGACACAGGCAGACAACTGGAAATGTGTTGTTTTCTGTTTTACAATTGCTGAAGTCAACACACAACTGTGAAAAGAGCTGAATAAATGCATGTGTGAGTGTGTTTGTGTGGGTGCTCAGCTTTAGTGTAATATGGGACGTTTTTGGCTCTCAAACAAGAATGAGAATCTGGGTAATTTCAGTACTGGCACCAGTAATCTGGCAGCGAAGAGTGCTTGCCGACATGCACAAAAACCGACTCGCAAACAAGAAAACACATTTTAACAGAGAGAATACAGACTTCAATTAAACTTGTACAGGTTTGTAGTCCTATTGTATGTCAGCAATGCAGTGACCACTTGCTTGCCAATGTAATTTTTCACACCCTCTTTCTGTCGTTAGTGTTTATCTCTAAGCATGTGTTGTGTGCTTGTGGTGTGCAACTATAGCTTGGGGAAGTTAACACGCTCTGGCATGCGGCCTTTCATGTCACACATACACACACACTACATGTATTTCACACTGCAGCAGTCATTAGTTCTGCTTGTCTCACAAGGATAGATCACTGTCCAGACGTGTCTCAGTCTTGTGGCCTGCTGTCTCTCTCTGTGAATGGTGAAACCGACCAGAGGGGATTCTCATTTGACAGGGATTATGGATCATAATTAAGCTCCATGGTGTGACTGTTTGTACTGAAGTCATCAGGGCATCACTAGTATCGACTTTTTTTGGTGGGGTTTAGTGAACACAGACACATTTCATTGATAAGCCCAGCTGTGGGTCATGCTCCTCGGCCGTGATGAAGAGACAGTCAATCCCAATGGATAGAGTAACCCAACTTCTTGTCTGTAACTTGTGCAGATGACTCATCAGCGCTCCAAGTGTGACAAATGTAATAAGCAGAATCACTGCTACACCCCACAGGATCTGCTTGCCTTCCAGCACGCGTCCAGCTGAACAGAGCAGATCGACCTGGACAGGAAGTCAGACGCTGGAACAGATAGAGCATCTGGTCAATTTTCAAAATATATTGTACCACCATGTACAAAATGCCAATGGTATATCCAATGTTTTCCCTACCATACATTTGGAGCGGCAGCCCACCCTACCAATGCAACCTCGCCTTACTCCAAAAGAAGGCACAAAATAAACGTCTCTGCTATACTTGCATTTTCAAATCAAGGCTGAGTTTTCGTCTCTGCACAATCACACTGGCTGATACATTTGAATTGACACGCTTGAGTTAGTATGCATGCTCCTCTTATAGTGCCAAAAAACACAATGTATTTTGTAGACCAATGCATCCATTTTTCATAACACTGTAATTTTGATTCTGTTTATTAAAATCCCCTCTATTTGATGATCTAGATGGATTATTGTTGGCTTATATTTGTAGCAGAGGGAGAGATAGATCCTCAGTGGGCGTTCTACATTGATTATTAATGAGAGAGAGAGAGCGCCGCTCTGCCCTGCACTGTCTGTTGAAGAGCTTGTCAAAAGATAATTAAGAGACGATCATACCAGACAGGAACTATCCCGACTATCCTCTGCTCCTTCTGTGTTTGTTAGGATTCATCAGTCTCGATAGGACAGCTATGAAACTGGACAGTGACTCTCAGCAGAAGCAGTGTCAGTTACTGTGGATGAGATTGACAAGAGACAGATTGTAAATTGTAGACTGGGTCAAACATAGACTTGAGTCTATGTCCCTCACTTGTTGCCCCCCTATGTCCCATCAACAGAGCCCTCTGTCCTGCTGATGGCCAAAGTAACATGACATGCTTGCGATCGTGTTGGTTTATCAAGCAGGGGCAAATCCAGACTTTTCTGTTTCAGGCTGAAACAGAACTGGGACCCAATGCAGGGGTGGCATGTGGCTCTCATGTTTGGCTTTGTTAAACCAAAGATTTCCAGTTACTGCCATCTCGTGTCTCCCTTTTCTTGTCTGACTGAGACAGTTGATCAAAGCAGTAACTTTGAGAGTAGTAGTTTCCAAACATATTC